GGGTGTGACCCAAAAAGAAAAAAAAGGGAACAGGAGGGAGGGGTGGGATGTGATGCAGGTTCTGAAAAGAAAAGGCAAGGGTCAGGGCCAGAGATGGTACAGCAGGGAGGCCTTTGTTTCGCAGGTGGCCGACTGGTGTTTGACTCCTGGCACCACATATGGTTCTCCGAGCCCCACCAGGAGTGATCCCTGAGCACAGCTGGGTAGCACTGTAGCACAGTAGCACTGTCGTCCAGTTGTTCATCGGTTTGCTTGAGCGGGCACCAGTAACGTCTCCATTGTGAGACTTGTTACTGTTTCTGGCATATCGAAATGCCACGGGGAGCTTGCCAGACTCTGGCATGCTCATGATTTCATGAGCATGGACAGGAAGATGCTTTTTCTGCCCTCAGTAGCTTGCCGGGCTTTCCGAGAGGGGTGGAGGAATCGAACCCAGGTTGGTTGTGTGCAAAGCAAACACCCTATCTGCTGTGCTGTCTCTCCAGCTCGGTCACTGTCACTGTCTGTCACTGTCCTCCCATTGTTCATCGATTTGCTCGAGTGGGCCCAGTCACATCTCTATTGTGAGATTTGTTGTTACTGTGTTTGGCATATCAAATACGTATATACGTCCGCAGGCTCTGGCATGCGGATGAGATACAGTCGGTAGCTTGCTGGGCTCTCTGAGAGGGGTGGAGGAATAGAACCTGGGTCGGTCGCATGCAAAGCAAACTCCCTACCCACTATGCTATCGCTCCAGCTGGGTATGGCAAGAAAAAAGAAGAAAAGACCAAACAAACAAGTGTCAGGGCCAGCTTTCGTTCCAAAGGGAAAGAGGCACCACTGCACCCAGAGATGCCTGTGCTTGAAAGGCCCTCCCGGGCGTTTGTTAGACCTGGGGCCCCAACGTGGAGGGCGGACAGCAGGGCTGCTGCTGTGCCAGGGACCCCCAAGTACTCTCCTTCCCGGCTGTCGGGACACGTCCCAGGAGCTCTCCTGGAATAGATACCGCTTTCACCCTCCTTACAGACTGCTGAGCAGACGCCCCAGGACTTTGCGGGGAGAGGGTTAACAAAGAAAATGATTTCGTGAGCACGGACAGGAAGATGCTTTTTTCTGCCCTTGCAGGAAGGGATGGGAGTTTGCTGCTCCCTTCCGATTCTCCCGGAGGCTGCCCAGATGCTGAAAAGGGGGAGCGAACACCTCCTACCCAGAATGCCCCGGGCCAGTGACTCATCCTGGCTGAGGAGAGAGGGGGACTCCCAGCGTCTGAGCCTGAGTCGAGCCCTCGTGGGTCCTTTGCCAGTTGCCTAATAAGGCCAGGGGCTCCGCAGCCCGCAGACGGCAGAGAGCTGGCTTCCCGGGAGAGGCACCTGCTCCGCCTCCCGGTTCCAGAAGCATCTCCATGGGCCACAGCTGGGCACTGCCCCCACTGGACCCCGTGCCAGCCACTGAGTGTTCTGCCTCCTGTGGCGGTGTCTGGAGAGGGTCCTGAGGCAGATGGACCTCCTCTCCACTGCCCGGGTGTCACCTGTGACCTTTTCTCCTCATGACAAGAAGTCTCTCCTCTTCAGTACCTCAGGGAGAGATGCCGTGGAATTCTGATGCAGACTCTCCTGCTTTCTCCAGAAATCCAAGACTTTATCACCTAGCCGTCACTGCTGCTGCTTCTCACCTAGCCACAGAATGTTCCCTTTTTGGTGGTGGAGGAAAGGGAAGGTGATGGAGGGACTCGTGAGCTATGGCTCTTAGGTTCAAAGGCTGGATCCCTGGGGCCGGGGCAATAATACAGCAGGTAGGGAGCTTGCCTTGCATGAGGCTGACCCAGGTTCCAGCCCTGACTCCCTGTATGGGACTCCCCAGCACCTCCAAGAGTAATTCCTGGGGACAGAGCCAGGGGTAAACCCTGAGCATCACCAGATGTTTCCCAAGGCCACAAAACAATGGAGGGGGGGGCACTGGAGTGATAGCACAGCGGGTAGGGCTTTTGCCTTGCACGTGGCTGACCCGGGCTCAATTCCCAGCCTCCTATGTGGTCCCCTGAGCACCGCCAGAAGTAACTCCTGAGTGCAGAGCCAGGAGTAACCCCTGTGCATCGCTGGGTGTGACCCAAAAAGCAAAACAAAAAAGTGGGGGGGGGGGCTGTAAATAATAAATTCCCAGATTGGTCTAAGTGGACCAGAGGGATAGTACGGAGGTTAAGGCACCTGCCGTGCTTGTGGCCAGTGTCTGTTCGATTTCAGGTGTCACATTTGGCCCCCTGAGCACAGATCTAGGAGTAACCCTGAGCACCAATGGAGAGCTGCTCCACAACCAAACCAAATCAAAAAAAGGAACCTAAGCTTTCTCCAGTATCCTGTGCTGGAGGCAGGCACCTCTCGCTCAGGCGCTCCAAGCACTGTTCATCTCTGGGATTCCTGTCCTTGATCTCTTCCTTAGGATGGTGTGAAAATGTAAGTCCGAGTCTTGTCCCAGTCGAAGGTAGGAGAAACTGACCAGAAGGCTCAGGGGGCCAGCCCCAAGGGTGCCCGGTAAACCTGGCTCTGAGTCTGCCAGTGACCCTTCAACCAAAAATATTAACACCAGTGTGCAGAAAGTCTGCCCTGGGCCGGGGTCTTTGCGAGGTGCTGGAGGGCCGGATTGTATAAGAAAGGGTGCAAGGGGAGAGACAGGAAGGAAAATGGTCTGCCCCAGGCGGGAGCACTCTGCTGGCCTTTTCTCAACATCCTCTTAAAAGGTTAAGGAGTCCTACTTACAGGTCAAGATGGGTTTCTGGCTGTTTCCCGGCACTGAGGCAAATGCCGAAATGACGAGAATATTGTGAAAATGTCCTGAGGTACAGCCGGTCCCCTTTGCCAACGTGGTTTTCCATCTTTGATTTTCTGTGTGCTACGTCTGGGGGCCCCAGCTGACGTGGCCTGATGGTGCTTGGGGCCTGTGCCGTGCTGGGGACGGAGCCGATGCCTGCTTCGGCCTGTAAACCCAGCTCTCCCCAGCTCCTCCCAGCCTTGGGATCCTTCCAGACCTCCTTACTCGGAAGATTCCAAACAGAAAGTGAGTGTGATGTTTCTAGCCTGACAACTGCACCAACCCCAACCCCTGCCGGCTTGCTGTTTGTTTGTTTGTTTGTTTGTTTTGTTTTTTGGCTTTTGTGTCATGCCCAGTGATGCTTAGGAGTTACTCCTGGCTCTGCACTCAGGGATCACTCATGGCAGGTGCTCAGGGGACCACATTGGATGCTGGGAATCGAACCCAGGTCGGCCACGTGAAAGGCAAACGCCCTCCCTGCTGTGCTATTGCTCCAGCCCTGCTGGCTTGCCATTTATCCATGGGAAGAGGAACCCCCAAATCCCGAGGTGGAGTCTGGGGTGTCACCACCTGCAGCCCTCCTGAGGAAACTGGAGACCACGTTAAATTGAATCAGTGGCAACTCCAGCACGGGTGATTTTTTTTTTTTTTAAGTCAACAGTAGGAGTCGAGTTCCTCCTCCCTGCTGCTTCTCATGCTTCTTCACTGCCCTCTGGAAGCCAGGGTCAGAGAAGGACGCGTGGGAGCTGTTTGCCTCGCCCATGCAGTGAGCTCAGGCGAGCAGAGAGTCTGGTAGCGTCTGGCGCAGCCCCCGCGAGAGCCCACACAGTTCCACGGCTGGGCTTGAGGCCGGGTTTGGGCTGTTTCCTCCACCTCCAGCTCCCCAAGGCCCTCCCGAGCATGGCTCCACGCGGCCCCTGGGCAGCACATGTGAGCACTGACAGACTTCCTTCCCCAGGGGAGCAGGGCCTCCTGCCCCTTCCAGACTGAGTCGTGACCCGGGTGGGGGGGGGGGGGCTCCTAGCCGAGCCTAGCTTCCGAGCACCCTCTATGTGAATAGTGGCTGCCTTCTCCACCCCAGCCCTGAGACTCACATTCACTATCTGTCCGCCTCAGAGCTCTCCTGTCTCCTTTCTGTAGTGGGGCCCACCCTATATCACCAACCGCCAGAACAGAGCTTTCTGGAAAGGGGTGGGGCTCAAGCTAAGGCCCAGACCTGACTCGTTGACAGCGCTGGGGAATTTCCTGAGCGCTGTGGCTCAGCGTTGGGCCGCTCTCAGCTTGTCTGCTGGTGGGTGAAAAGTGTGTGCGGGAGAAGAGAGCGGGGCATGGGGGGCAGGGGGAGAGGACCGCGGCACCTTCCGACCACTGGCCCTGGCCTCCACGCTGACCTTCTCACCAGTTATAGGTAAGATCAGACAAAAGAATTCTGTTGGAGGGCCCTCAACAGGCAGCCCGGGAGGGCGTGCGCCCAGGCCATCAGGGGCGTCACCTTGGGTTTCTAACTGAAGGGGGACATGTGTGGCATGAGACATGAAGACTGAGGTGTGTCTGGCATGAATTCTCTACAGGGGTGCCAACAGGCAACCAGGGCATCCCAGGGAGGAAGTGGCTGCTTCTGAGTCAGTTCACTCCCCTCAACTGTCACCAAAACCCTCCAGGCTAGAATGGGCCCCTCTTGCCTTTACACGTGTTGGGTCTCCATGGTGGCTCTAACGGCTTCTTTGTCTCTGTCTTTGCCTCTCTTCCAGAGACCCAGTTGTCATCGGTATCCAGGCAGCCCTCCTCCTCGTCATCCTCCTCCTGCTGCCTCTCTACCACCACAGTTGCCGGTTGTTGTTAAGGGTGCCTCCATGGTAACATGTTCATCCTGTTTACACCTCCATCTGGGCAAGTTGGTGTAAACTAGGAACTGACCTGCCCCGGACAGTCATTTCCGTCAACACCTGGGGACAGCAATCATCGTGGCACGTCGTCCGGCTTCCACTTGCTTCCCCCATTCTCTTCCTCCTCCATTGCCCGTCTTCATAAGGGGGAACAAAGCATCCAGACTTGAGCTTACTCTGAAGCTTCTTGCACAAGCAACAGTCAATCCGTTCCCTAACTGGGCCCTCAGAGAGTCAGAAATAGGAAGGAGCAAAGGCCAGGGCCGGAGAGGCAAGAGACCTTGATCGGTAGGAGGAAAACCCCCCCTCTTCTCTGATCAAGGGGTTTGGGAACAGCGGGCAAAATGACGAACACACCCGACCATTCCTTGTCAGCCAACTCAAGGATGGAGGGCCGAGAAGGGGACTTCGGCTGTACCCTCGGGGACCTGCGGAAACTCATGGAGCTGCGTTCCTCGGATGCCCTCCACCAGATCAACACCAACTATGGAGGGATCCTGAGCCTCTGCACCAAACTGAAGACCAGCCCAGTAGAAGGTAAAGTGCGGGGCCTAGAGGGAGGGGCTGGGGGTGAAAATGATTTTCCCCACCTCTCGGGGAACCTTGCTTCTCTTAGAGACCCCTGCTTACTCTGTGCAGGTTCTCTGGGCTCTCTCACGGCATCCTGACAGAAAGGGAGGCCCTGAGGAGGCAGCTCTTGCCCAGAGATGATGCTGCAGCACCCTGTAAAAACTGCTTGGGCTTATCACTGGCGCCAGAGAAACTCAGGTTAAAACCCAGCCCGTGTGTCTGGAGAAACTTCCAGAACCTGGAGTGCCCGCAGAGTGTTCTTGTATTTTTGAACATTGGAAAGGTTTGTGTGTGTGTGTGAGCATGACTGTCCCCCACTGTCCCTTGCCTTGGCCGCTCTCTGGATGAGTGTGCGCGGACACTGGGCACAAGCTCTTCCCACTAGGTCTTGCTGAGACGATGCAGAGTTTCTGTGGGGTTGTTCTTCCCCCCTTCTCCTAGTATTGTGGATCCCGCTGTTCTGAGTCAGGTGCAGGAACCCAGCCCAGCTGCCACAGGGCCCCTAGTCGCGGGGCCCAGCTTTGCTTCCCGAGTGTCCGAGCCCTTTCCCCCCAGCGGCTCCTGCAGGTTCCCAGAGAAACCCCCGGCTGCCTGCCTCTCATCAACCCCAGAGGGCAAATGCGGCTGACTCAGCGAATGATGCTCTTAGATTCGCTGCCGTTCTGCTTGCAGACCTGAACTAGGCACCTGCCCCTTCTGGCCGGCAGGAGGCTTCTGTGGCCACAGACTGTGGCAGGACCAGCACCCTGGTGCCAGGGCCTCTGCCATGGCGTAGGTCTGCACTGCCCTTCTCCTGCTTAGAATACACATACCCCTCATACCTCTCCTGACCGCTTCCCCTGCTGGGCGGACCATCGGACTTGCCCGGAACTGGGCAGGCTGGGCCCAGGAAACAGAATCCCCTGGAGTGTAGCTTCCCTACCACCTTTGCCAGCAGTGACCTCGTCGGGGAAGAGAAGAGGGAGGGGAAAGGAAACAAGAATTCTGCACAGGCCTCTCCCCACAGACGGGGCCGCCAAGCTGTCCCATCAGGCCTGCAGAGAAAAGAGCCTCCGTTAGGTATCAGGGACTGAACTGCAAGGCTGACCCCCTGCCCTCTGGGGTCAGTGCCGGGTTATGCCTAGACCTGTTTCTCACGAGCTGGGAGTGTCCTTGGGATTGGGGTCTTTCTCGCTGGGGCAGGTTGAGATGTCAAGTGGCAATGCTCCTGCATTATTATTTGTAGTATCGGCACTAGAGGGCATACAAGCAGAGACAGAGGGAGGGCGGGGCTGGAGGGAACCCAGACGGCCGAGCACTGCACGCCTTGCAGAGGCGGCCCCGTCTGGCCCCTGGCACTGCATGTTCCCAGGCACTGCAGGGAGTGACCTCTGAGCCACCAGCAGCCCCAGCACTGCTGGGTGTAGCACCAACACGGAAACGATGAAGGAAAGAAAACAGTGAAATAAGATAGAAATTTCTCGTGCACTTGACCCTCTCTCCCCAGAGCTCCACTTCCGTGGGTGTGACCTGCCACAGATGGAAAATGTGTCTGGTGTCTGTGTTCAGGCCGGTGTGGCTGGCGGCCTCTGTACTTGAACACCGCTCTCTCCTTTGCTGGTCATTAATTCCTCCAACAAGACCATCTAGCTCACCGTTTGCATGAGATTTACATTGTCTTAGGTATCATAAGTCATCTAGAGATGATTTAAGGTGTGCTAGAGGCCATGCATGGATCGTATGCGAGTACTACTCCGTTTTTATCGGTTTGTAGGCCCTGTGCAGCCTTGCTGGACTCTGTCACCAGTGCTGTGAGCACCCCATGTGCCAGGGCAGGACCCCAGGGCTCCGCCCTCTGATGAATCTCCTGGGCATCCTGTTTTGTTTTGTTTGGGAACCACACCCAGCGATGCTCAGGGCTTACTGCTGACTCTGCACTCGGGAATCACTCCTGATTGATTGATTGATTAATAGGATTGAACCCTGGTCAGTTGCTTGCAAGGCAAACACCCTCCCATTGTACTACCATTCTGGTCCCAGATCCTGTTTCATTTTATAGAAGGGACTATAGAAAGCACCATGGATTTGTTTATTTATTTATTTATTTTTATTCCAAGGGACATCCTAGAACCAGCCTGCTTTGGGTGCCAAGTGCTGGTTGTCTTTCCCCAGGCTCCAGTGGCAGACAGACCCACTTGGAACTTCTTCGGTAGAGCTTGTTGGTATTAGGGGAGTGGCGGAGAGTGGGCATGTGAGTATGGGATCGGAGAGGAGCGGAGGGGAGCCTGGATGCCTGGCTCCCTGTGTTTAATCTATATATAATAAATTTATAGTTAAATATATTTAATATATAAAATAAGATATAATATGAATATTGTGTGTATATATATATATATATAATGGACTGGAGCAGTAGTGCAGTGGGTAGGGCATTTGCCTTGCACGTGGCCAACCCAAGTTCAATTTCTCCACCCCTCTCAGAGAGCCCAGCAAGCTACCGAGAGTATCCTGCCCGCACGACAGAGCCTGGCAAGCTCCCTGTGGCATATTCGATATGCCAAAAAACAGTAACAACAAGTCTCACAATGGAGACGTCACTGGTGCCTGCTCGAGCAAATCGATGAACAACGGGAAGGCAGTGCTACAGTGCTATATATACAGTATGATACAAATATGTATGTATTTTCAGCAGCTGTTCAGGACAGGAGCTAAACTTCGCCTCTTTCCTCATCCCCCTTGTCCCACTGCCACCAACCTCAGCTCTTGCCCCAGCTGGATTAAAAAATGCCCAGGAAGTGCTCCTCGAGCCTCCCCGGCTGGGCAGGCAGCAGAGACTGGTCCATTCAGCCCACGCTGCTCAGACAAGCATGTGAGCCAGACTCAAGCCCAGTGAGCTGTTTCGGGGTGAGCCGGAGTCTTGGAGCCTCCCCTGCTGGTTCTTGGCCGCAGGGTCTAGGGCTGTGTCCGCAGTGCCGAGGGACCGTGTGCTGCTGGGCTTTAACCCTGTCCTGTGTCTCCGACCTCAAGCCAGAGGAGTGTTTTCGAGGGAAGCCACGGGCCAAAGATGAGCGGACTAGCTCCAAACAACAGTACGGGGAGGGAGCACTGGAAGCAAGAGTCTCGTGGTGTCATCAAAGAAATACTTAGGTGAGAAGAGTTTGCAGAAACTCAGGGCAAGCAACCTCTGAGCTGGATCTCAGATGCTGGAGAAAGGCCTGGGCGTGCCCTGCCCTGCCACATGCCACCCGAGAGCTCCCGGCCCAGAGCCCAGTGTGTGAATGTCCGAGTGTGCTGGGCCACCTTGCCCAGTCCAGCCCCAGGCCCTGGAATTCTGTCCTCAAGCGCTGCCTGGCAGGGGCACAGAGTGATGCAGAGCTTATGGCCCGGCCTTCCCTGAGCCCTGCCCAGGACTCACCCTGCTCTCTCCGTGGTGCAGAGGGGATGCTAGACACTTAAGCCTTGGCTGGGGACGATTCTTTGCTCCAGGCTGCCAGAGTCTTCTCCTCGCTCCGAGTGGCTTCATCTGACTCTTCGGCGGCCTGAGAACCTCCCTGGGCAGGAAGAATTGGGGTGGCACGATTGGCCAAGCTCCCCGTGCTGCGGGACAGGCCAGGAAGATGCCCAGGCCACTCTGCCGGGAGCCCCAGACTGGCCTCTGCCCAGTGCATGCTGGGAACTTGCTGGAATGGAGCAGCTACTGACCTCAGGGCAAGCTCGAGAGCTTAAGGTGGACTGGGGGAGGGAAAAGGGGCCCAGAGGACAGAGGGGTCCACGACATCTAGCCAGGACAGGGCCCGACTTTGGGGCTGGCTTTCCGACGTGTGCCTTGTTTCCTTTGCTCTGGGTTCAGGAAGGGTCACAGCAGACCTGGCTGCCTCCACGGGCGACACGGGGGACGAGACCACCCTGCTGCCAACACCGAGTGCAGGGGCCAGGCACGGTGGAGACAGGACGGGACCCGCTGCCTGTCTGCGTGGGACTGGGGTGCTCCCCCGGAGCTGCTGGGCCCGACCTGCAAAGCCCTGGACAGACAGACCCCTGCACACACCCGTCTGCCAGGCATGAGGCTTCTGCCCTCTGCATGGAGGTTGGCACCAGCTGCCCACAACATGGGGTCTGCCTGTGTTTCCAGAGATGAGAGACCCACCCCCACCGCCCGTTTCTCCAGCCTCTGAGTGGCATCTGGCAGCAAACGGCTTTATCATTAGCACCTCCTACTGCTCCTGGCCCCACTCAACCCACAGTGCTCGGCTCAGGACCAGGGCCCAGACCCTGCCCTGTAGGACAGTGATCCCTGAGCTGGGGGGAGAACAGCGGAGCCCTGGGGTAGGGGAGCGCTGGGGTAGGGGCATGTGGCCCCAGATTCAATCCCTGGTACCTCATACCACCTCCCAGTACCCGCTGGGCGGCCCTAGTGAGCCTGGGCAGCTCAGCATCACATTCATGGTCAGCCCTGCAAGCAGTGAAAGAATACACCTGCCCAGTGAGAGGGTCTCTGAGCGAGGGCAGTGAGGGTCCCGGCAGCAGTGTTGGGGCTCTCTGGGCTGTGAGTCCTTGGCACTGGCTGGGATTGGCCCCGTGTCTGTGCTGCTGGGCTGAGAGTGAGGCCCACAGCGGAGGGAGGAGGGTGGGCCTGTAGGTGTATTTGATTTTGTCTCTGTTTGGTGTTGGTTTGGGGCCACACCCAGCAGTGCTCAGGGCTGACTCCTGGCTCTGCGCTCAGGGATCACTCCTGGAGGGGCTCAGGGGACCCATGGGGATGCTGGGCCTCGAACCTGGGTCAGTCGCGTGCAAGGCTAGCGTCCTCCCCGCTGTACCTATGACTCCAGCCCCTGTGTGTATTTTGAAGGTAAAGTTGAGAGTTATTTCCTGACTGAATGGATAGGGGGATGCGCGTGGGGGTCAGGATGATCGTCAGGGTCAGCTGGTGGGTGCTGTTAGCTCAGGGTGTGGCGGACTCTCAGGTGCCCTCTGGGGGGTCTCTGTGCCTGAACCTCTTGGCTTGCATCCCTTAGTGAGGGCTGGGGAGGGGGGGGGGGGCGCATCATCCCTCTGGACGGTGACTTCTGCTCTGAGAAACGTGCTAGAGCGATTTCTGAGTTCTCAGAATTCCTGTCTCCTGCCGGCAGTGAGATCCCTCTGCGTTGCTGCCCCCGTGGGCCAGGCCTGGCCTACTCAGGCCCCCCGGAGGGGAGAGGCCGCAGCTCCCCACCTGTGGCTCTCTGCCTCCCACTGCCCCCCTGGGACCCCTGCCCAGTAGCTCCCTCTCCCAGTCCCTGCACGCTCTCCTGAGAGCCTGGTCTGCTGAGTAGCAGAGGCCAGAGAACCCCAGGAGATGCACGGGGAGCGGCCAGTCGGCTCCTAGTGTTTCAGGCCACACCGGTGGGTCACGGAGCAGGACTCCTGGGGAACAGGGGGCCTCCTGGCCGCTCCCTGTGGGGCCCAACCTCTCCGAGCCCCCTTCCTGTCTGCGCTCAGTGCTGCCAGCCAAGGTAGCCTGGACTCTGCCTCCACCGGCTTGGATGCCCGTCCATGCCCTGCCCTGCCCAGCCTCTCCCCAATGGGCCTTTCCGGAGGTTCCCCTGGAGGTGCTGGTTTATAGGGTGGAAGGATGGAGGCCTTCCCAGGCCCTGCCTGGGCTCCTCGCTGGGGGAGCGATTTTCCAGCCTTCTCCAAGCACGGACCTTCCTTAGGTGGCAGGCAGCTCCTGTGCTGGGAAGACACAGCCCTCTGACCTTTCTTGGCAGGGACAGAGCAGCCGTCTGTGGCAGAGGCGAGAGACCAACCACTTTTTCTCTTGATGCTTTTGCGCACGGGCAGGGGGGAGCCCCCCCGACCCCCAGCAGGGGCACACCAGCATGAGGACCGTGCCACATTCACCCCCCGCCCTCCCAAGAGGGCCACCTCCAAAGGCCTGGGGCCCTGAGCATGGCCGGTCTGGCCTGAGCAGCCGACCCCACTGAGAGCCTCCGCCGGGAAGCACAGCCTGGCGTGGCTGAGGCCTGATGCTTCACCCCCAGCCCTCCGGAGTGTCTCTCTTCTCTCGGGGATGTGCAGGAGCCTAGGTGTGCATGGTGCAGGGAGCGTGCTGGGCATCAGAGACTTGGCGGCCTCCCCGCCCTTCTCCTTCTGTTCAACCCGAGCATTCGTGCTTGGTTCATTATCCCTGGCTGGTGCAAGTTGTACTGCCGTCAGTACCAAGTACTCCTCTGACTCCATACCAGGAGAGCAGTACCCGCCTCGGCGTGGAGGCCTCTGTGTGCGGCAGACAAGGAGTGCACGTCTGCCCAGCCTGAGCGGGCTGCCCAGGGCGAAGTGGCCTCACCTCTGTATGTCTAGATTGGGACATCTGGTAGACCCTGTCCCCAGGCTCCTGGCCTGGCCCGAGCAGAGACTTGTTCTTTCCAATCTCCATGCCTGAGCAGGGCTGGAAACTCACGGACATTTGCCTCTCCATACGAGGAAAGTTCTGTATTAGTCCTGGGAGCATGTGGTTGGGGCAGGGTTGGTGGGGTCCTCAGAGCTGGGCCTGGCGCTGACCTCACAGTCTGGGGGCGGGGGAGGGGGGGTCCCCCTGGGGAATAAGAGAAGCAAGGAGGTAAGACCGGTTTGTCCTGTTTTGTATCAGACGGACAGTTTCATGGCCCCTTGAATCCTGGGCACACTGACTGGTGGTCACCCCTTCTGAGTATCCTGCTTGGAAAGATCCAGGAGCCGGCAGTGGGGTGGGGTGTCTCCGTGTCCGGGCTGTTTCCACGACCTCTCTCTGCTTTCCCCTCTGCCGGCTGGCACGCTCACTCAGGCCTGTCCCCCCACCAGGACTGTCCGGGAACCCTGCAGACCTGGAGAAACGGAAGCAAGTGTTTGGACAGAACTTGATCCCCCCCAAAAAGCCCAAGACGTTCTTAGAGCTCGTGTGGGAGGCCCTGCAGGACGTGACGCTCATCATCCTGGAGATTGCGGCCATCATCTCCCTCGTGCTGTCCTTCTACCAGTCCTCCACGGAGATGAACGAGCGTGAGTGTCCCCCACGACCCAGCCGCCTCCACCACTGACCACTGGACCCAGGCCTCTGCTGTGGGGGCCGAAAGCATCAGGGTCACCTACGGTCCTCTCCTTCTGGCCCAAAGTCACCTACCCCAGTTACCCAGGGACGGTCCTCTCCTTCCGGTCCATCCTCACCCTCGGCTCCTTGCCCATCTCCCATCCCTTCTCCGTCTGCAGGAAGACACGTGTCCTCCCCCATTACCCCCCTAACAGGAACCCGCGTGTCCCCTCCAAACACCTGTATGGCAGGACACAGCAGGGGTGTCTGCCCACTGGGGATCGCTTGCTCCCTCCCTGGGACTCGCCTCTCCCTTGGGTCTCCTGCTCGGTGCTGCTCAGAGGTCTGCACCTGGCAGGGGGGTCAGGAGCCCTGCCCAGTCCTGGCCTCGGTACCCTGCAGCAGTCACGACTCTGTTGTTTCCTTTTGCTCTTTGCCCCTGACTTGCATTCTGGGAGATGTAGGCAGCACTATCTTCCTTTCTCGGGTTTCTTGTCTGGGAAGTATTTTATTTTGTTTGTTTCTTTGTTTGTTTGGGGGGCCACACCCAGAAATCCTCAGGGCTTCCTCCTCGCCCTGCACTCCTGGTGGGCGGAGGGGGTGCTGGGGATGGAACCCGGGTCAGCTGTGGGCAAGGCAGGTGCCGTCCCGTCCCCGCTCTCCATTGCTCTGGCCCCCACCAATGCCCCCCCTCTCTTGTGCTGGGCTAGAGTGTGGCCTGGCGGTGAGTGGCCCCGATGATGAAGGCGAGGCCCACGCCGGCTGGATCGAGGGGGCCGCCATCCTCTTCTCCGTCATCATCGTGGTGCTCGTCACCGCCTTCAACGACTGGAGCAAAGAGAAGCAGTTCCGGGGCTTGCAGAACCGCATCGAGAGTGAGCAGAAGTTCTCCATCATCCGCAACGGACACATCATCCAGCTCCCCGTGGCCGAGATCGTGGTGGGCGACATCGCCCAGGTCAAATACGGTGAGCGCTTCCTCAGGACCCTCAGGTCTCTGCCCCCCGCCCTGTCCGTGTGAGCCACAGAGGAACTAATCCCTTCAGGACTGGGAACTGCTGAGGACACAAAAACGAGGACCCCTGAGCCGTCAGCCTCTGGGTTGGCTTAAGAGGAGGTTGTAGGAAGGACCTCCTGAACAGCAGCTGATCCCCGCAAAGATTGTCAGACTTGTCCCCGCTGTGTCTTGGGGCTGAAGGTGTCTAACAGCTGGGCAGGGGCCGGGGAGGGTCGGGGACCTCATAGCTGACGCGGGCAGCGCCTAGAGTGGCATCTTGTCTGGAGCTGGTCAGAGCTGGTCATCAACGAGGGCCTACGAGATCCTCTCTGGGTGCGTGGCCTCCAGGGAGAGGCCATGCCCCCGTCCTACCTGTCCCCCCTCTCCTCTGGGTGCCAGGTGACCTGTTGCCTGCCGACGGGGTCCTGATCCAGGGTAACGATCTCAAGATCGACGAGAGCTCCCTCACCGGGGAGTCGGACCACGTCAAGAAATCCCTGGAACACGACCCCATGCTGCTCTCAGGTGCTGCCCCCGACCGCCCCCATCCCGTCGTTGTGCCATCCCCCCCCCACCCCAACCTGCTTCCACTGTTCTCACTGAGGGCGGGAACGGGTTTCTGTGTTATTTCAAAATCAGGCCACCAGAGGGGGGCTCCTTGAAGCCCGGGGCTTTGGAGGGGCCCTGGCCTGGCGGGAGCCTTCCCTAAAGTAGTTGGGCCTGGGCTTCTCTCCTCCCGCCCTTGGCGTGTCTGTTTTTTTTTTTTTCTTTTTGGGTCACACCCAGCGATGCTCAGGGGTTGCTCCTGGCTCTGCACTCAGGAATTACTCCTGGCGGTGCTCGGGGGACCATATGGGATGCTGGGAATCGAACTCGGGTTGCCCTACCTGTTGTACTGTCACTCTGCCCCACGGGTGTGTGTTTCAAATGGGCCCAGCTCTTGCTCTCTGCTGAGTGTTATTATGGAAGAGGAGGGATGGGGCTCTCCTCCCAGCGCCCCCCCCCCTCCAACACCCCGTTTGTATTTCACACCAAATAATATCGAGATAATTGGAAAAAGGAAAAACCCGTCCTCCGTGCTCCGTGGCCTGCGTGCATGCTCTGAATGCAGGACGCCTGCGTGCAATCCCCAGCCCGGTGTGGCTCCCTGAGCTCTGCTGGAAGCAGCCCCCCCAGACACACACACACAGAGCCACATGTGGCCCCCACACCCAAACCCAAACACGTCCTCCCGCTCTTCCCCCATCCCGCACAGGGACTCATGTCATGGAAGGATCCGGCCGGATGCTGGTGACGGCTGTGGGGGTCAACTCCCAGACCGGAATCATCTTTACCCTCCTGGGGGCCAGTGAGGGAGACGAGGTGGAGAAGAAGAAGAAAGGTAAAAGGGGCGCTGAGGGGAGGGTGCCTCGGCCCTCTTCGTCCCCACGGACAAACGGGGCAGGAGCAGATGGAGGACTTGTTGGCGGAGGCTCGGCTGGTGGGGGTGGGGGGACGATACCCAGAGGGCAGCCGAGATAGCGTGTCAGCCGTGAGCCACGGGGGGGCGCTGATGGAGCACCGCCTACCTGTACCCCTTCTCCTCTGGGTACCAGGGCCGGAGTCTCGCCTCCCAAGTCGGTGCGTTTTTGCCTCCCGTGCCGTGTCTGTCGGTGGGTTCTAAAGGGATGCATGAGGCCGCCCAGGTGAGCGGCCAGGTGCTGAGCGTGCCGGATTCCCCCTGCGTCTCCCCCAGCACCCACACCTTTTTTCCTCAAACCCGTGGACAATCCTCAGTGGACAATCGAAATTTCCTCAGTGGACAATCGAAAATGAAGGGAAGACTGGCCCGGAGTAGGAGGAGGAAGCGGCTGCAAGAGCCAAGGGAGTGGGGACGCTGCCCGTCTCCCCCAGCCCTGGGAGGAAGGAGGAACAGCAGGCAGGAGGCAGAGGCTGTGGCCCCAAACCTCTGCCGCCCCCCTCGGTGCCCCCTTGCCCCCTGGGGTGAGAGGAGCATCTCCACCCTGGCCGCCCGTCTTGGGCAGTTCGGCAGAGGGTGGTTGATGGAAAGGGACCAGGACACGTTCACTCGAGAAGGAGGACGCGTTCCTGCAGCTGCCTCCGGCTAAGGCAGAGGCCGGCCTGGTGCTGTGTGTGAGTGGGGGACCCAGCTCGGCAGATCTAGGTTCCCCCTCTGACTCCCCACCCCCCAGCTCTCTGCCACCCTGTACCTCAGCCCCCTCGATGTGCGTGCCGTGTTCTGGGGGAAGAGCCATGGAGATGAAGGTGTGCTCGCCGGCTTGACAGGGGCTGTGGGAGAGCCCCTGTGAGAGAGCGTGTGAGCAGAGGGGCCGTCTTCCTTCACCCGCCCCCATACACACACAGACACACACAGACACACAGACACACACAGGGACACACAGACACACACATATAGACACACAGTCTCATACACAGACACAGTCACACATGCAGACACACACAGACATACAGACACAGACACACACAGATACACACACACAGACACACAGTCACACACAGACACACAGATATACACACAGACACACACAAAGACAGACACAAAGACACAGACACACAGAAACACACACAGACACACAGATACACACAGACTCATTCACACACACACCCCAGCCCCGCAGCGCGCCCCCTGGGCTAGGCTATCGCCCTTCTGGGCTCCCAGCAGCATCGGCCAGTTGGATATTTGATCTCTTGAGCGTCATCCCTTTGGGTCTCCACCCCACGTTTTTCTTTCTTGTTCAAACAGGTAAAAAACAAGCCGTCCCTGAAAATCGCAACAAAGGTAACCGCTCCTCCACCCACCATGCACCATCTCTACCTGCCCACACTGAAGTCAGCCCTGCCAGGCCATCTGCCTCCCCTCCCCCCTTCTCCTCTCCATGAATCTGTTATCTCCTGCTGTGACCCCCCAGCCGGGGCGCCTCATCTGAGGACGGTGCAGAGATGAGCGGTGGGCCCTGAGGCCCAACCCCAGTCTAAGCCCGGGACGACAGCCCCCCCTGCTGTTGGCTCCCAGAACCGCAGGTCACGGTTTCTCCTGGTCAGCGTGTCCGGGATGGAGCCCCTCTCCCGTAGGCCCCCAAATCACAGACCGACCGTCCTGGGCTTCAGGCAGGCCGCAAGCCTCGGGGCCCGTGTGGCGGTGGCGGCCAGGGCCGGCAGTCCTGCACCCTCCTCTCGCTGGCTTCCTCATCGGTGTCTTCTGGTCTGGACTCTGCGGCCTGCCGGTGCCTCCTGACGCCTCTCCCCGCCTCTTCCTCTGTTCTCTCCGTTCTCTTCCTCCCGATCTAATGTGTGTTTCTCTCCCGCTGGCCGTGTCTCCATCCGTCTCCGTCCCGTCTGTGCGTCTGACAAGCAGAGAGACCGTTTCTCCTCGGGCAGGGCAGCCCCGGACCGGGGTGGGAGGATGGGGGGGGTGAGGGCTGTGGGGGCGGGGGGCCGGTGGCCAGCCAGCCATGGTCCGGCCAGCCATGGTGGCTGCTCTCTGGAGACAGCACCTCAGTTTCATCTCCCTCCCAGCCCCCTAGCCCCAGCCTCGGACTAGTCTTTAGAAAAAAAATCCTCCGAGCACCAGGGAACAGGGACGCAGATGCCTCTTTGGCCACCAGGCTTCTCGGACTCTTAAGAGCGTGATGGCTTTGGGTGCCTGCCTCGACTGACCCCCGCCTTCTCTCTTCCAGGGAACATGCCTGGCCAGCGCTTTCCTCTCCCCACCAAACGCTTCACTGCAGGTCGCACGCGCTGTCCTTTTTCGAATGGGGGGGCCAGGGAGTGTCCCCTCTTGTCTGCTGCCCCGGTAGGGGACAGGCCTGGACAGCCCTGGACAGCCCCCAGGGTCTGGGGCCTGACTCTTTCCCCAACATACGGGACCCACTGTCTCGGGCCCTGAACTCGGGGCAGGGTGCCGGTCACAGCACCGAGTGGCGAATCTCCTCTTGCAAAACCGGGCCCGGCCCGGGGCTCTGAGGTGGTACAGGAAGGAGCCAAGGAAGAGGAGGCCCAAGTCAGAAAGGCTCTCCCCTCCCCCCCCCCACTTTCACCTTCGGCTTGTTAGTTTAGCCCCCCGCCAGGACCAAGGCCAGCCGCCTGCCCGGCCTCGGCCTCGAGTGGGTGCGGTGTGAGCCATGTCAGGAGCCCCCGGTGGGCCTCAGGAAGGAGCCAGAGAGGGCTGAGCCCCGCCTCACTCTCCCCCTGCTCTCTGTGTGTGCACACCCTAGCCAAGACCCAGGACGGAGTGGCCCTGGAGATCCAGCCACTGAACAGCCAGGAGAACGCCGACGTGGAGGAGAAGAAGACCGCCAAGCTCCCCAAAAAGGAGAAGTCGGTGCTGCAGGGCAAGCTCACGCGCCTGGCCGTCCAGATCGGGAAAGCCGGTGAGAGCGGGCGCCCTGGGTCCCCACCACGCCCCTCCCGCTCTCGGGACCCACTGGCCCGGGCCGAAAGAGGCAGAAACATCGCAGCCTTTGGGTACCAGCTGCTCTGTGCTGGCCGTTCCCGGCTTCCTTGGGGAAGAGTGTGTGTGCACACAGTGCTCGGACTGAATGCTGGGCCGTACCCCAGCGGGCGGGACTCTCCCACCCGCCTGAGTATATCCTGGGCTTTCGGGCTCTCTCTCTGCCACCCCCTTTCTGTAATGAGCCACACCCTGTGGGGATGGGGTTGGGGGGAGGCCAACCAGGGCTCTATGAGCTCCAGCCCTAGAGCATCTCCTTGACAACCCCTGAGCCCGCTCCTGCTCAAAGGAATGGGGAGTGAAGACTCTCGAGCACAGGGCCGGAGAGCTCAGTGGGGTGGAAGGCAGCGATGCTTGGGTGATGCTCTGGTTGGGGACCCAGCACTGTCCAGTCTCCTGAGACTCGGCACAGCCCCTGTGCACGGGGTTGGGATGTAACTCCTGAGCATCACAGGGTGTGGCCCCCAAACCAGAAACGTAATTGTAATCGTAATTCATAGCATGACGGTGGAGGTTTGAGTTTGCCCAGGGCCAAGATTAACAGCATCTTGCCTGCATCGCAGGCTCGTCAGCACCTTAGGGGTGCAGAAGGCTGCTTTGGGTGGGTTGTCCCCTGGCTGCAGAGAAGCCCCTGCCCTAGAGCAGAGCAGTCGATCCAAAGTGAAACCAGGAGGGTCGAACCCCATCAGGGCGGGAGCGGCCCGCTCCAGAGGAGAAGCCATCCAGGGCTTTGGTGCCCGTGGGTGGAACTGGTTCTCCGTCCCTCCTCCCTCACCGCCTTCTCTCCAGGGGCAGGGGATGTTGTTCAGGGCATCCTCTCTCATGCCCCTCTAATTACTTCCTGACACCCCCCACACACACTTTTACCACTTGATCTAGGCCAACACACCCAGCTGGGGGGCTGAGCAAAGCTCAGACTCCAGAGGGCTGTGGGGCCTGAGATTCTGCGTTTCCAGCCACTCCCCAGGTGAGGTCCGAGCTGGGGGCCCACGAGGTCCAGATCCCGTAACTCTGTGCCCACGGCACCGCGCCCAACGGGATCCACACACACGGGATCTGCCAACTGTGATGCCGTGAGCTCTGCACGGCAGTCAGACAGCTCAGAGCACTGGGTATGCAGCTGCCCAGCCAACCTTATCAGGCCACGTTTGCCTGACAGTCCCGGGGGCTGCAGAACAGAGATGTGGGCTGGCCATCTGCTCGAGCACCAGGCTGAGCCCCAAGTGCCACAGGTCATCCACTTGGCCTGGATCAGGTGAATGGCAGGTGCTCTGTCGGGACATCGAGGCCGGACGACCCGTGTGGAACTAGAGCACGAAGCCAGCTCCCTGCCGTGTGCGTCGGAGGCGGCTCTGTGAGGGTGGAGCCTGGGCTCCTCTGTTGTCTGCAGATGAACTCGGCTGGGCCTGGAGTCCGCAGGGGAGCAGCTGGCCCAAGTGGAAGCGCCGTCTGAAACCGCGGCCCAGGCCTCTTGCCGTCCTCCCGACAGAGCAGAGCTTGGAAGTCTGTGCAGACACTGTTGCCATCTCTGTCCGCCATGCTCTGAACCCCACATGGCTGTTGGGAAAAGCCAGCACCAAACCAGTCGGTGCTTGAGGCAGAACTTTTCCCGGCCTGAGCTTCTAGGAGGCCTGGGGAGGGCCGTGTGTGGCTGTGGGTGTCCCCATAGCACCCTGGGCGATGGGGCTCTCCTCCCAGTCATCTCCTGCCCTTGCCCCAGGCCTGTGGTGACCAGCTGTCCCCGGCCACTGGAGACTCCTTTGATTTTTAACACAGAGAGTCTCACATCCCAGCGAGTGCCTCGGTCAAGGCAAACCAGGATGGCTTGGCCCCTGTCCCCGTGAGCTGTGAAAAGGCCATGGGAGCAGAGATGTGGGCAGGGCCAGCTCCGGCCCGTCTGTGCTGTTGCCAGACCCGTGGCAGCCCTGGCTAAGCCTGGCCGTGGCTGTTGTGGGAGAGAGGCCGGGGGAACCTCCTGAAGGTGACTGCGCTGGTAGAGCAGGGGTGTCACTGTGAACAGGTGGCATGCGCGCGTAACTCGTGCAGGCTGCCCGGGATCAGCTCGGATAGGCAGCTCAGAAGTAGGCGGATGCACTGTCTGTCTCGGGAAGTGGAGGGCCGGGTGGGTCTGGGATGGGCTCGGAGAAGGGCTTAGTCCCACTCCGCAATTGGTGAGAGAAGACGCAGGCCAAGTGGAGTGAGACCAGCGCCTGTGGGGTGCCGTGGGGGGAGCAGGGCAGCAGAGAGGACCGGGCATCCCCTGGCCTCTGGTGGTAGCAGAGCAGACAGGGGCGTCCTGTGGCTTCTAGGGAGGGTATTGCGGGCAGGGGGTTTTGTGGCCTCTTCAGGGAGCAGAGCAGGCAGGGGCATTCCATGGCCTCTGGGGGAAGCAGAGTGGGAAGGGGTGTCCCGTGGCCTCTGGGGGGAGCAGAACGGGTAGGGGCGTCCCGTGGCCTCTGCAGGGAGCAGAGTGGACAGGGGTCTCTCGTGGCCTCTGGGGGTAGCAGAGCAGGCAGGGGCGTCCCATGGCCTCTGCAGGGAGCAGAGTAAGCAGGGGCATCCCGTGGCCTCTGGGGGTAGCAGAGCAGGCAGAGGCGTCCAGTGCCTCTGGGGGAGCAGAGCGGGCGGGGCATCCCATGGCCTCTGGTCGCAGAGTGGGCAGGGCTGTCCCGTGGCCTCTAGGGAGAGCCCTTGGAAGACCTGTATGCAGCGACCAGCGTGGGTGTTTGGCCCTGGGGCTGGCCTCTGAGCCTGGGCTCGTGTCCCCAACAGGTCTCATCATGTCCGCCATCACCGTGATCATCCTGGTCCTGTACTTCGTGATCGACAACTTCCTCGTCCAGCGCAAGCCCTGGCTGGCCGAGTGCACGCCCATCTACATCCAGTACTTTGTCAAGTTCTTCATCATCGGCATCACGGTCCTGGTGGTGGCTGTGCCTGAGGGGCTGCCTCTGGCGGTCACCATCTCCCTGGCCTACTCTGTCAAGGTGAGCTGGCGGTCGGAGAGTCAGGGGCCCAGGGGCGGGGGAATCCGCTAGCATCTCACGCAGTCTTGATTGGGGGCGCAGGGGTGTGAGCAAGCCCAGAAGAATCGTGTTTTCTTGGAGGGGGGGGGGTGGTTGGCAGCACACATGGTATCAGCTCCAGCCCTCTGAGACATCTCCCTGGCAAACCTGGTAGAATCTCAAAAGGACTCATTAGGATTCATGAAACTCATCTCTTGCTTTTGCTTTTTGTGTGGGGGCCACAGCTAGTGGGGCTCGGGGCTCATTCCTGCCTCTGAGCTCAGGGGTCACTGCTTGGGGGGCTCAGGAGAACGTGTGGTCTGCGGGATCACATCCAGACCAGCTGCAGGCGAGGCGAGCGCCCTCCTCTCACTTTGCCCCTAGAATCTTGCATTTTTATTTTGGGGGGGGTTGGGTCACACCCTGGGCCTCACACTTGGCGGGACAGAGGCTCTGCTATGGAACCACATCCCCGGCCCCGCTCCTGTAGTCCTGCGGGGCCGACAAGAAAATGGAACAGAAAGGAAGGCTGGCTGGCAGGGGGCCTTGGGGTGCGGGCACCTCCACACACTCCGTCTTCTCCCTCGTAGAAAATGATGAAGGACAATAACCTGGTGCGCCACTTGGACGCCTGCGAGACCATGGGCAACGCCACGGCCATCTGCTCCGACAAGACGGGCACCTTGACCATGAACCGCATGACCGTGGTGCAGGCCTTCGTGGGGAACACGCATCACCGCCAGATCCCCAGCCCCGACGCCCTGGCGCCGAAGACCCTGGAACTGCTAGTCAACGGCATCGCCATCAACAGCGCCTACACCTCCAAGATCCTGGTGAGCATCCCCCCACCCCGCCCCGCCCGCGCCCCGCCGCCAGCATGGCCACACTGTGTGGCCCACGTTTGTTCCTTGCGAACAGACGGACGTGTCACTTCCCGCTGCTCTGTGAGGGGGCGCTGGGCCGTGTGTGACCTAGGGGGCAGATGGGGGACAGGAGCCACGAGGGAGCCATAGCTGCGAATGGCCTTGACTTACCCCAGAAGGTCCAGGTTCCCCTAGGGGACACCGCATGCCCCAAGCAGAGTGGGGTGTTGAGTGGCTCTCTGCAGAAACGTTAAGGCCACTCCTCTGGGGGAGATGCTTCCCCATTCCCACGCCCGGCCGTGCCCTGCATCCTCCGGGACCTCCCCATCCCCACCAGCCCCATCTGCTCCCCTGCAGACAGCCCCCGGCCGTGGCCCTCTTGGGCGTGCGGGACCCGTCTCTCTCCTGGCCAGACTCTCAGGGGGCCCATTTCTCTGCAGCCTCCCGAGAAGGAGGGCGGCCTGCCGCGGCAGGTGGGCAACAAGACGGAGTGCGCCCTGCTGGGCCTGGTCACGGACCTGAAGCAGGACTACCACGCCGTGCGCAGCGAGGTGCCTGAGGAGAAGCTCTACAAGGTGTACACCTTCAACTCCGTGCGCAAGTCCATGAGCACCGTCATCCAGAAGCCCGGCGGGGGCTTCCGCATGTACAGCAAGGGCGCCTCCGAGATCCTCCTCCGCAAGTGAGCACCCTGGGGCCTGGCATGGGGTGGGGTGGGGGGCTGAGGGAGAAACAGGACAGGCATGATCGCTCATACCTGGCCATGGCGGTCTTGCGCCCCTTGGTGGTGTGGGGAGCTGCTCAGGTGGTGGGTGGCTTTGTCTCCTCCTAGCGAGACTCTGGGGGTCCCCAGCTCACAGGCCGGGATGCTGAGGCAGCTGGTTCAGGCCTGCTCCAGGGAGCAGCCGTGTGGCCCTGTGGAGGACTCGCATCTCCTAGTGGGAAAATGGAATGTAGGACCCATCCTCCCCCCGGGAGAGTGTGGCGAAGGGAAGAAGCGAACACGGCCGCCCTCCACAGGGCAAGGCTGGAAGCGTCAGCTCTGTGTTCAGAGAAGCCACAGAACTTAAAATCAAAGCTAGGATCAAAGCAGCTGGCAGACTCCGAGGTCATCAGACGTGAACTTGACCCAGGTCCTGGCACTCAGTCGCCCAGTGTCCCCACCGGCCTCTGGCTACCTCCTTTCAATCACACATTCTTGGGGTCGAAGCCACAGCACAGTGGGGAAGGTGCTTACCTTGCACACGGCTGACCTGGGTTCAATCCCTGACACCTCATAGGGTGCCCAGAGCTCCGCCAGGAGTGACCCCTGAGCACAGAGTGAGGAGTAAGCCCCGAACATCACCAGGTGTGGCCCCCCCCCCCCCCCAAGGAGTCTCGCACTTGGTGCACCCCCGATGCCTTGCGACTCTTCTGATGTGGATGATAGCAAAGTCTCCGCATCCTGGAGGGGCTCAGACGAGCACGGGCTCCACACAGGAGCCTGGATGTGTAACTGCATCTGAGTGGGACAGAGGTCCTGGCCAGGGCCTCCTCCCTGGACCCCCTGCCCTTAAGTCCCCCTGTGCTCAGCCTCAGGGGAGCTGGCGAGGAGCAGTGGTCTCTGGCCCCGAGGGGAGGCGTTGGGGAGCAGTGGCAGCGGGTGGGGGTGCGGGTGCTCCCTGCTTCCTAACCACGTGCCTCCTCAGGTGCAACCAGATCCTGAATCAGAAAGGGGACGTGGTGCCCTTCAAGAGCAAGGACCGCGACGAGATGGTGCGCACGGTCATCGAGCCCATGGCCTGCGAGGGACTGCGGACCATCTGCATCGCCTACCGCGACTTCAACGGCACCGAGCCCTTGTGGGACAACGAGCCCGAGATCCTCACCGAGCTCACTTGCATCGCCGTGGTGGGCATTGAGGACCCCGTGCGGCCCGAGGTGAGGCCCGGGCGGCCGCCAGGGCCTGTGAACTGGGACGGGGCTGTGAGGGTGCGGGGTGCTTGTTCTGTTTCTAGTTGTGGCACCAAGGGAAAGAAGCTTTTCTGTGCTTCTGGCCTGCACGGAGCCCGCAGGAGGTGCCCTCGACCAGGGCAAGATGCAGGCATTGGTTTCTTTGGGGTTTTTTTTTTGGGGGGGGGGGTCACACCCAGCGATGCACAGAGGTTACTCCTGGCTCTGCACTCAGGAATTACTCCTGGAGGTGCTCGGGGAACCATATGGGATGCTGGGAATGGAACGGAGGTTGGCTGCATGCAAGGCAATTGCCCTACCCACTGTGCTATTGCTCCAGCCCTGGCATTGTTTTTTTGTTTTTTCTTTCCTTTCCCCCCCCCCCCCCCGGGGGCATGTCATCTGCTACTTAAGCTAGTCAGGAGGCTGAGTTAACCGGACACCCACTTTGTCCTGCTTTGGTGGGCGTCTCGAGTTTGGGAGATGGCCGAGAGCCGACATGGCTGGGGAGGGGGAAGCTCGGAGACACTGAGCCTTTGACTCCGGCCTGGCAGTGCAGCGGGTAGCACAGTTGAGGGGGCACCCAGGGAACCGCCCAGCCCACGCCTGTGGCACTGCCCTCAGGCTGCCTGGGCTTTGCCCACAGCTGTCCCCACCCCCTGCACTGGGCATCAGCCCCCCAGCACCCCTTTTCTCTCGCCTCTCCCCTCTGCAGGTCCCAGACGCCATTGCCAAGTGCAAGCGAGCGGGCATCACTGTCCGAATGGTGACAGGGGACAACATCAACACGGCCCGGGCCATTGCCACCAAGTGCGGTATTCTCACGCCAGGGGAGGACTTCCTGTGCCTGGAAGGCAAAGAATTCAACCGGCTCATCCGCAACGAGAAGGGCGAGGTGGGTTCCCGGGGAGCTGGTTCCCGGCTGGAGACCAGGGAGGTGGGTCCCAGGCAGAGGACCAGAGAGATGGGTCCCGGGCGGACCCCAAGGCTGCATCCTGCCGTCACTTCCGGTGTTGGCAAAGGGACAAGCCAGACTTCGTCAGGGAAGACCCAGTCCTGGTGACAGAGGTGTCCGTCCCTTCACAAGGCAGCTCTGGAGATGGTGGTCAGAGGATCCGGTCTGGATCTGCAGGCCAAGGTTTCCCATCAGCAGAGAAGTGAAACCCGGGACCCCAGAGCCCCCTGCAGCCCAGTCCCAGTCCCAGTCCTGCGGGCACTCCCCGCCCACCTCCTGCTGGGGGTTCTACGAAGGCGGGGTTGGTTCACAGGTGGGGAGAGAGGTGGGGAAAGTAGACAAGGAGGGGCCAGGGCCAGAGTGGTCACCCCCAGCCAGCACCCCTTGGCCGGGACAGAGCCGGCCTCCTTGTCCTCCGCAGGTCGGGCTGAGCCCATCTTCCGAGACCGCATGGCTGCTCGGAGCATGGCTGAGCCACGTCTGGTTTGTGTTTTTTTTGACAGGTGGAGCAGGAGAAGCTGGACAAGGTTTGGCCTCAGCTCCGGGTGCTAGCGCGATCCTCCCCCACCGACAAGCACACGCTGGTGAAAGGTGAGGTGGGCCCCAGCGGGGACCCTGGGGCACAGGCGGGCCCGGGGCAGCTCAGCCTCAGCCTGCCCTGCAAGTCCTGGGCCAGTCAGCACCTGAGCTGCTGAGGTGGCCGGAGACACACGCTCCAGTCTGGGTTCACAGTCCTTCTCACACCCGGGGTGCTGGTCACTCTCTGGGCCGGGCAGAGCTGGGGGCAGGTCAGTGCTTTACCTCCTCTTCACGGCTGTGAAAGTAATGAGGGCAGGAGAAATAGGCAGGCAGAGAAATAGTCCAGCGGTTAGGGTGCCTGGCCGGTACCAAAGACCTGTTCCATCTCTGGCACCACGTGGTTGCTCAGACAGCCCTGGGTGACCCCAGAGACCCGCGTAACTCCAGCACCACTTGGGGTGGGGGGCCTCAGTGTTCCCTAGCACTGCGGGGTCCAAGCACTGAACCGTCCAACCCAGCTGACTGAGAATCACCCGAGGCGATGCCCCGCCCACATACCCCCCAAACATCAAACTGAAGAAGAAATGAAGGTGTGGCTTGCGAGAGCTTTTCATGAGCACATGCAAAGTGGCAGGAAGTGCCTCTCAGACCAGGCCTAGCTGGTGACCAAGGGCTCAAGAAGCCACCGATTGGTGTACGCTCCTCCCCTACTACAGCTGACAGCACGTGGGGCGACCAAGAAGTGACGTCCCGTCTGCCTAGAGTGGACAGCGATCCAGGCCCTGGTTTCTGAGGGTGTGCTGTGTCCCCACCTGGTCGCTGCGTTCAGCAGCAGGACAGCCCCTGCTGGCTCCAGGTCAGCCTGGCAGCACCATCCTACCCACACCTGGTAGGGCACAGAGAAAGAAAGAAGCAAGCGGAAAGGGACACAGTGGCCCGGGCCAGGGAGGAGAACCAGGCGAGCCCCTTTGTGGGGTGCACAGGCCAGTGGCCTCAGCCTCCGGGGCTCACTGTGGCTCCATTTTCCCAGGCATCATCGACAGCACTGTGGGAGAACAGCGGCAGGTGGTGGCCGTCACAGGGGATGGCACAAACGACGGGCCGGCGCTGAAGAAAGCAGATGTCGGCTTCGCCATGGTAAGCAGCTTGGTGGATGTGTGTCCGGTGACAAGCTGCCACCTGCCTCCCTGGCCATCGGTCCCCCAGCCCCACCCTGCGCCCTTTGCTCTAGCGCTGTTTCTTCTACCTGCCTGGCCAGCAGTAGCCAAATTGTGCCCTGCTTCATCGCTGAAGCTGCTTGGAGATCCGGAAACAGAGTGTGGGTGTGGCACACAGAGAACCTCTCCTTAGCGTGGCCATGGGTCCCTCACTGTCTGGCTCCCGTGGTCCCGTGGATCCCTCACTGTCTGGCTCCCGTGGTCCCGTGGATCCCTCACTGTCTGGCTCCCGTGGTCCCGTGGATCCCTCACAGTTTGGCTCCCGTGGTCCCGTGGATCCCTCACTGTCTGGCTCCCGTGGTCCCGTGGATCCCTCACAGTTTGGCTCCCGTGGTCCCGTGGATCCCTCACTGTCTGGCTCCCATGGTCCCGTGGATCCCTCACTGTCTGACTCCCGTGGTCCCGTGGATCCCTCACAGTTTGGCTTCTCCCTTCTTCCTGCAGGGCATCGCAGGCACAGACGTGGCCAAGGAGGCATCAGATATCATCCTCACGGACGACAACTTCACCAGCATAGTGAAGGCCGTGATGTGGGGCCGCAACGTGTATGACAGCATCTCCAAGTTCCTGCAGTTCCAGCTGACAGTCAACGTAGTAGCTGTGATCGTGGCCTTCACAGGAGCCTGCATCACGCAGGTGGGGCTGGACACCGGGGCTTGGAACAGCCGTAGCAGTCTGCTGAGAAGTCAGGACCAAGTTTCCCAGTGGGGCAGGGCAGGGGCCTCCTGCACGGTGGCCACTGCCTGCGTGGGGTGATGATTCTTTCATTAGATGTTGCCCACTCTGAGGAGCACGGGTGTGGATTATCTGTTCTTCAGAAATAGCTTTGAGGGCCAGAGGGACAACATGGTAGGTAAAGTGCTTGCCTTGCACAGGGCTTCGCAGGGTCAATCCCCGGCACCACCTATGGTCCCCAGAGCACCTCCAGGGGTCACTCCTGAGCGCAGAGCCAGGAATAGACCCTACACTGCCAGTAAAAGTAAAGTAAAGGCCCTCCCGTTGATCATCGATTTGCTCGAGCGGGCCCAGTAATGTCTCCATTGGAGACTTTGTTGTTACTGTGTTTTGGCACATCGAATACGTCACGGGGAGCTTGCCAGGCTCTGCCGTGTGGGCGAGATACTCTCGGTAGGTTGCCGGGCTCTCCGAGAGGGGCGGAGGAATCGAACTCGGGTCGGCCATGTTGGCTGCGTGCAAGGCAAACGCCCTACCGCTGTGCTATCGCTCCAGTTCACACTGCCAGATGTGCCATTTTTCCACCACCACCGATTAATAAATAAAATAACCTTGTAGGTATTGTTATCACCATTTTACAGATAGGAACCCAGGACTCAACAAGTTAGGGAATTTTAGGGAACTTTTTCTTTTCTTGTTTTTTTGGGCCACACCCAGCAATGCTCAGGGCTTGTTCCTGGCTCTGCACTCAAGGATCATTCCAGGCGGGCTCAGGGGACAATCTGGCATGCCGGGGATCGAACCTGGATCAGATGCATACAAGGCAAGCCCCTTACCCGCTGTACTTTTTCTTTGGCCCCTTAGGGAACTTTTTCAAGGTTACAAGTGGCCAGCTCCACAGCCTAGTGGATAGTGGAAGTGTTTGCCTTGCGTGTCAGGGCCCAGGTGAGGCTGGTGAGGGAGGCGGTGCTGGTTTCTGAGCAGAGCCGAAATGGGTCCTCCTCCCTGCAGGATTCCCCGCTGAAGGCCGTGCAGATGCTGTGGGTGAACCTGATCATGGACACTTTCGCCTCGCTGGCCCTGGCCACAGAGCCGCCAACAGATTCCCTGTTGAAGCGCCACCCTTACGGGCGAAACAAGCCTCTGATCTCCCGGACCATGATGAAGAACATTCTGGGCCATGCGGTCTACCAGCTCGTCGTCATCTTCTGCCTTGTCTTCGCTGGTGAGTGGGGCTGGGGGTGGGGCAGGGTAGGGTGGTCACCTCCTGGGGCCTGCTCTGCTCCTGTGCTGCTCTGCCAATACCCATCAGTGTTGTTGGCGACGACAGAGCCTCACCAGCATGTCTTCAGCAGACTGTCCCTTAGGAACGATGGAACTGCCACTGAGGGCCAGAGAGAGAGCTCGGGGCTCCAGGGCAGACCTGGGGTGAGGCAGCTGCAGGTTCAGTTCCTGGTGCCACATCACCCCCCCCCCATCCCTTCCCATCCCCTGGGCACCATAGAGTGGCCCGAGTTGCTGGGCCTGAACTACTCTGGGTGGAGCATCACCAGGAGTGGCCCAGAAGCTCCCTGAGCACCATATGGGAGCTAATCCCCACCACCACCACCCAAAAAAAAAAAAGCAAAACCAGAGGCTGAGGTCCCTTTTTTTATGAGTGGCACTCAACACTCAGCTCCAGGGACCGTGCCTTCCCTTCACACTGCACAAAGGCCTGTGTGAGTGGACAATGTCGGTGGAGAGGAGTCAGCCCTGGGGAATCCACAGCTGCCATTTAAAATCTCTGCCACCGGGAAATGAGGGAAATATACAGCACTCACAGTGCATACCTAGTATCTGCTGATCCCGGCCTGAATTCCCACAAGACCTGGTTCCCTGGGGCCAGGGAGTTAGCACAGCAGGGAGGGCACTTGTCTTGCAGACTATCAACCGAGGGCCACTCCCCGGCACCCTGTATGGTCCCCCAAGCATCACCAGGATAATTCCTGAGCTCAGAACCAAGAGTTAAGCCCTGAGTGCCTCCGGGTATGATCCCCCCCAATTTTTTTTTTTAAATAAGATGTAGTCTTCCTCCCCCCCCCCCCAATCAGCATCACCAGGTAACCACTGATGCCCTAGGAGGCCCCCCACACTGCCAGTATCCCTATTCCACAGGACCCCAGCAGCACCCCATCTTCAAGCATTGACTCAGTGGCCCAGTCCCAAGCATCCCCTAATGGGACTCCTGAGCACTGTTTGGGAAGCCAGAAACAAAGGCCAGCTAAGCTAAAGTAAAGAGACTCCCTGACGCTCTGTATAGCACCCGGCTCCTGAGCCGGACTGGACGCCACCAGCTAGGGCCGGGCCAGCATGCTCCAGCTCATCCTGAGCTCCCCCTGCACCCGGCCTGAGCCCCAGTGTGCCTCCCCTGCCCCGCAGGTGAGAAGTTCTTCGACATCGACAGTGGGAGGAAGGCCCCGCTCAACTCCCCGCCCAGCCAGCACTACACCATCATCTTCAACACCTTCGTGCTCATGCAGCTATTCAACGAGATCAACTCCCGCAAGATCCACGGGGAGAGGAACGTCTTCGGGGGCATCTTCCGCAACTTCATCTTCTGCTCCGTGGTCCTGGGCACGTTCATCAGCCAGGTGGGCGCCAGCTGGAGGGGCCGCCCCGCCGCCGCGGCTTTGGACGGTCAGGTCTCCCCTGCGTTTCCAGTGCCCGGCGCTCCAGGACAGCGCCCACAGCCTCGACGTCCATGCAAGGCAGCCTGCTGGCAGGCACAAGAGCGAGACTCAGGGAGGCCTTTCGTTCCCTTTCTAAAGCAAATCTCACCAGGTGGCCGGGAGCAGGGCCATCCTCTCCTGCGTCCTGCCCCCCGCCCCTCTGAAGGAGTCACAGCTGTGTCAGGTCACTGGTCATGAGAAGGAATGGGATGATTGGCAGGGTCCGCCTGGGTTGGGCTTCTCCTGCAGGAATAGAGATCGTGGGCCTGGCCAGCCCAGTGGCCAGGGGACAGGCCTCTTCCTGTCCTATCCAGAGTACCCTGAGACTGTGGCTGAAGCCATAGCACAGTGGGTAGGGTGTTTGCCTTGCGCACGGCTGACCGGGTTCGATTCCCAGGATCCCATATGGTCCCCTGCGCACTGCCAGGAGTGATTCCTGAGCGCAGAGCCAGGAAATCACACCTGTGCATTGCTGGGTGTCACCCAAAAAGCAAAAAGTACCCTGAGATTTCCAAAGAGCTGATGAGTTCACCTGATGACCTCCCGCCTCACCCCTCCCCAGTTAGCTCCCGGATTCATTCATTTCCCCAGTTCCTTCTTCACACTGTCCCACCATGGGCTGAAGTCTCGAGCCCCTTCCTTTCCTGGGATGCTCTGCGCCCTTGAGCCAGTCATGTTCCCGTCCAGTGCTGGGCCCCCAGCAGGTGCGTTAGAAAGACAGTGTGTGCCTGGCAGCCTCCCTCCCCTTACAGATTTCTTCTCTCTTTGTTCCCTAGCAAGCTGGTCAGCACTCATGGCAGAGGAATCCTGGGGTGAGGGAGGGAGGCGCCAGTGGGGTTTCCACGCAGCTGCAGTATTAGCACCTGACGAAACGGCTGTGACTCTTGTAGATTTTCATTGTGGAGTTCGGGGGCAAACCCTTCAGCTGCACGAAGCTCACCCTGTCCCAGTGGCTTTGGTGTCTGTTCATTGGAATCGGAGAGCTGCTGTGGGGCCAGGTGAGTGCCTACACCCACATCCCACCTCACCTTCCTGTCACCCTCCCTCCCCTCCACAGGGTCCCCGGGGCCCTCCCTCGACCAGGGTCCACCCCACAGAGGCCGCCGCTCCTCCAGCCTGCAGGCGGGCAAGTGCCTTCTCGGCTTCTCGGAGATGAGTGGAAATGTTCTAAGGAATTTTGCTTGCAAGATAAAGAGCAAAGTCGAGAAAGGACTCGAAGGGTGGGAGAATGGCGGAGTGCGTGTCTTCACCCTGAGACTGTGTGGGCTCGTGGCTGTCATGGTTTCCGGCTCTCCCAGTTCTATCCCAGTGGCCTCTTCTGGGTGGAATATCTCGTTTCTCTTATACGAGAAATCCAGATTCATGAGATCTTTTATTTGAAGAAAAAAAAAAATTTTTTATTTTGAGGGGGACCACATCATCTGGCATTGCTCAGGGCTTCCTCCTGGCCCAGTGCTAAGGGGACCATGTGGGGTACCGGGAATTAAATCTGGATCTTCCACGGGCAAGGCAAGTACCCACCCCGCTGTGCTCTCTCTCTCCTCCCTCCGGCCCCTCTTGAGGCCTTCAGAGAAGCAGTGATTATGGTCAGGACAAGGGTTGGACCGTTTGAGCCCTGGCTCTTTTTTCATGGGTTGAATCACTTTGAGCGAGTTCCTTGATGACTCTGCACTCCCGTTTCTCTGATTTAGGATGACGGGGGCTGTAAGTCAGCACACAGGTCACAGTCCATCAGTGATCTAGAACAGTGTCAGCTTCTCCTTCCGAAGGAGCCACACTGTTTTGAGTAGTATGAATTCGGTGGGTTTGCAACGGGCTCATTCCTTCCCTAACACAGTGCCCAGGCTCTTTCCTTCCCTAACACGGTGCAGTGAGGCTCCCAGGAGCGCCCTCCGCCCCCCCTCCCCCGCAACACTGGCCTGGCAGATTCCTCTGCCTTGTGGACCCCAGGCTTCCCTGAATGCCACTTGGGGCCCCAGCTTGCACTGATGCCAGAGTTAGCCCCTTGGGGTGTCAGCCCCCCCCCCCTCCACCCCATAGACTTTCAGCTTTGTTCTCCACACATGCTAATGTGCCCACCCCAGTTCCTCCCTCCCTGATTGGCTGGTGGGACCCCGAGCTGCCTTGGGGAAGGCTGCTTGCTCAGGGGAACTCTGCCCTTCTGATTCCTGTCCCAACACTCCAGCTCTGCACACGGCCCACACCGACCCCCTTTCCCCACCCAAGTTCCATCTGCTGCTCCCCGTTTGTAAAAGACAGACAGACAGAACCTTAGCTCACCCAGGGATTTCTTTCAAGGTTTTGTTTGTTTGGGGCCACGCCCAGCAGTGCCTGGGGCTTGCTCCTGGCTTTGCTCTCAGGGATGACTAAGGACAGGGCCAGGGATGGAACCCAGGTTAACCCCGTGCAAGGCTAGTGCTCCGCCACTATACTGTCCACTCCAGTGGGGCCCACCAGTAATTTCTTTGGAATCGGATGCCCAACCTGTGGTACTATTCTTCTTACAGAGCTCCTTACGTTCTTTCTTCCCAAACCCATTGCGACTTTAGTATCCTTTATATATAGTTCCGCCACTGGAATTGCTTTGCATGTGGCATCTAGAAACAATATTCATAAAAAATATCACCTTTTTGTGACACGGCCTCGAGCCTTCGGCCATATATGCAGGGCAGCTGCCCTGTCCCCACACTGCCTGTCCCCGGTCGTTGTCTCGGCTCCTCCTTACCACACGCACTGCATTATGGAGCTCTCTTTTTCTTACAGGACACACGGCAGGGCCCAGGAGACAGCTCAGAGGGACAGGGCACATGCTTCGCATGCCCTGGCACCGCATGGTCCCTGAGCACTGCCAGGAATGATCCTGAGCACCAGTGGGTGTAGCCCAAACACCCTCATACACACACGCACATTCCCCCACCAAAAAAAAAAATAGGCAAAAGGTAAAGGCCCTCCCATTGATCGTCAATTTGCTCAAGCGGGCCCAGTAACATCTCCATTGGAGACTTTGTTGTTATTGTGTCTGGCATATCGAATACTCTCGGTAGCTTGCCGGGCTCTCCGAGAGGGGCTGAGGAATCGAACTCGGGTCGGCCATGTTGGCCGCTTGTAAAGCGAACGCCCTAATAAAAGGACAGGGGCTGGAGTGACAGCACAACGGGTAGGGTGTTTGCCTTGCATGAGGCCGATCTGGGTTCGATTCCCAGCATCCCATGATGGTCCCCTGAGCACCTTCAGGAGTAATTCCTGAGTGCATGAGCCAGGAGTAATCCCTGTGCATCGCCAGATGTGACCCAAAAAGGAAAAAAAAAGGACAGAGGGCAAAGGACTGGGGAGACTAGATGGAGGAGGAGAATAAGGAGCTGCGAGGCAGACGGCTGGTCAGCCCCAGACAGAGGCGGTCCTCTGCATGGCCATGGTGCAGAAATACTTCCCAGGGCTCAGGCTTGCCCCCAGCAGACGGGCGCTTCCCCCCGCTGCTTGCCCAGTGTGACCCTGCCCTGGAGCCCAAGCCGTGCCCATGGAGAGGGGTGTGTGTGTGTGTGTGTGTATGTGTGTGTGTGTCCGCTCAGACACACCACGCCTCCCGCTGACTCTGGCTGCTGCCACCTCTGTCCTCAGCTCATCTCCATGATCCCTACCAAGTCCCTGAAGTTCCTGAAGGAAGCCGGGCACGGCACAGCCAAGGAGGAGATCACCAAGGACGCCGAGGGGCTGGATGAGATCGACCACGCAGAGATGGAGCTCCGGCGCGGCCAGATCCTCTGGTTCCGGGGCCTGAACCGCATCCAGACTCAGGTACTCAGGGCGGGCACGCCTCGGTCCAGCCGTGGCTTGGTGACTCGCCAGCACCCACCTTGGGCTGGGCGGGGGGTGGGGGGTGGTGCGCAAGGGGGTTGGGGCTGGCCGGGCAGGCCTGAACCCAGGGCCGGTGAGCGGCCCACTTCCTCCCTGGCTTCAGGACTGAAACGACTGCGGGGGGGGGGGGGGGGGGGGGGTTGGAGGGGGGGGCTTCGGGTGGAGGTTTCCCGTTGCTTCTACAGCTCACCTTCCCACCATGTGGGGGGTCTCCTTTGCAAGCACCCACCCTAACCCTGCCGGGTGTGGCTGGGGGCCTTTCCCTGCGCCCCAAAGACGGGAGCTAGACCCGTGGTTTTTCCCCTACCAGCCCACAGACCAGAACTGGTCCACAGAAATTCCCCGCTGGTGTGCAAAATAGCATCCCTTCACCCACGGCCCGTTCGCATCATGACGGCGCGATCAGAAACACTGACACGTAGACATCCATCCGTACGCTTGCCAGAAATAATGATTTTACTTCTGCTTTAGCAGCCAGTAAAGTTTCCCCTCTTTTTCCTGGTGGGCTGGTACGAGAAAGTCGACAGTCGCTGAGTTAGTTGAAAACCCTCTTCTAGGCCAGCTTGCCCAGCGGACTCCTAGTGTCTCCCGTCAGGCTGCTGTCCCAGCGAGGTAGATATTCGTTACCTGGGAAGAGCGTGGTGGAACGAACACCCCCCACCCCCGCCCCGTTACAGCACCCCACCACCGGAAGCAAAGTGCCAGGGCGGGGTGGGGGCGGGGGGGGGGGCGCTGAGGCTGGTGTGTGTAGTGGCATTCGCCTCTCAAAGCTTCAGTATCTTCTGCAGTTGTCAGGACTCCTTTCCCCTACGAGGAAGAAGCTAGGATTTCTCCAAGTCTTTCCCCCTGCTCACAATTCCCTCCTTTCCCTGTGCTCCAAATCCCTGTGTGTGTCCCCCCCCCCCCCGCACCCCTGCCCGCCCACCTGTTCTTGCTCCTCATGACTCTCCCCACCACTGTCCATGCTGCAGCTGTGGCTGCCAGTTCGGGTAAGTGGCCCCAGCTAGACAGGGACCGTCTGGCCCCCTTCCCGGTGGCCTGAGATCTCCCGTCCCCAGAAGCTAAATCCCAGGGTCTCGGGATGCTCTCCAGAGCCCGGCACTGCGGAGATCTATCCTTTAGAGTTTCCCCCTCTAAAAAATAAGCTTGGCGAGTGGCCTAGAAAGTCCCCTCACCAGCACCCTGTCCTCGGTGCACAGGAAGAGAGATGAAAAGAGTCTTCGACACCAAATCCCTGCTGGAGATACACCAACCCCCAGAGCAGTAGGTGAGCTCAGGAAACCAAGGGGACCCCCACTCCTCCCCTCCTCCCAGAGGGGGCCCCTCCAGCCCGTGCAGCCTCTGTGCCCCTCCGCCCGGCCTCCGGGCTGCTGCGTCCGCCCACCACGGGCAACAGCCTCAGGCGCCCACCCAGGTCCCCAGTGCCTACCTTGACGTCCTTGCTTTTCCAAGTAACCTGTCTGCTTTTCTCCCTTCAGGATTATCTGCTTCCTCTCTCCTGTGTGCTTGTTGATTTGGGTTTTTTTTTTTTTTCGGTTCGCTTTTGTTTTCCTTCTTTTTTCCCTAGCCAGGACTCTCTTCTTCCAGTGATGACTGTTTCTTTGCGAGATCTGTGCATTTTGCTTCCCCTCCAACACCAATTTTTGGACCCCCGAACCCCCTGTGTGGTTTCTCTGCCGACAATGCCCTCAACACCATAGCTTCCCCTCTGAGCGTGAGTCAGTGGGGCCCATGGGCAGGAAAGCCTAAACTGCAGCCCAGGCGGTGCTCAAGGCACCCTGAGGGCCAGCGCATGCCATCCTGGTGACCCCCTCGGCAGAGGGGCTGCTGGCGCTGACCCCACTGTCCAGGCGCCTGAAGTGCCCAGCAGACTTCTCCCCAGCCCCCTGCCGTGTGATGGCTCGTCCTTGCTGTCACCGCAGGAAAACACAGAGTGGTGGGGAAGTGTAGCTGTCCCCTTCTGCTCCCTTTCGTGGGGGGGAGCTCACAGCAGCAGGCAGCAGAAGTTGGCCAGGGGCACTTCGATCGTGGCTCTGAGGGAGAGGGGTCTGGGGTTCAGTCTCACGGTGGAGGTCGGGACCCATCTCAGCTCCAAGGCCAGTGTCCCCACGGCCTGCTCCTCCACACACCAACCCCTCCACGCACACCAGCCTCCTGCCGCGGGGAGCGGCCCCCCAGGCCCCTGGGATGGAGAGAGGAATGAGAAGAAGCATGTTTAGCTCAGATGGACCTGAAATCCAGGAACTAGTCCTGACCCTTCCCCGTGACTTTCCTCCTCGAATTCTCCTGGCCCACGGCGTGGAGAGGGAACGCTGAAGGACAGGGGGCTTCTTCGCTTTCATTCCTAGTGACCTCAGAGTCGAGAATAAGGATGGTGAGGGTTGACAGAGGCCCAGACCATGGCCCCTGTCACAAAACAATTGAAGTTCATTGCCTCGGATTGGCCAGTGCAAACCCGAAGCCAATGGGTTGGGTGAGACTGCGGCCCCTTGCCTCCCTGACAGTCAGCAGCACCCCCAGCACCTCCTCAGCCTGTCTCCAGTGTGCAGCCAGCATCTCTGCAAGGTCTGGTGGGAACTCCGTGCATTTGTCCAGCTAGTAGCATTCTCTCCTTAGAGGTCCCGACCGGTAGACACCTGAGCACCATTCTAGGGGGCTCTTACCACCGCAGCTCGGAAAAAGGGGTCGCAGAGGAGAAACCTAGAAGAAACCATGATCAGGAGCCTTTCACCGTGACCACCCACGGGTGGGCAGCTACCTCCCTCACTTGTTTCATTCGAGCATAGATTTGCCCAGAAAATTGGTGGGGGGTAGGGGTGGGAGTGGGGGGGGAGGCAATTGCTAGTTGGTTTGATGGATTTATTATTTATTTATTTATTTTTGCTTTTTGGGTCACACCTGGCGATGCACGGGGATTACTCCTGGCTCTGCACTCAGGAGTTACTCCTGGCGGTGCTCAGGGGACCATATGGGATGCTGGGAATCGAACCCGAGTCGGCCGCGTGCAAGACAAATGCTCTACCCGCTGTGCTATTGCTCCAGCCCCTGGTTTGATGGATTTAGTGGTTGCCTGAGCCTTAAAATCCAAGTCATGTCTAAAGTTACATGCCTTACTTTTTGGTTTTAGTTTTGTTGGCGGGGGGGGGGGGTCACACCAACAGTGTGGGGCGTGGAGGGCTGTTTCTGCTCAGGGGGTCCCTGCTGGTGGTGCTCCCACGACCAGGCAGTGCCAGGCTCCAACTAGGAGCTCCTGTAGGCAAAGCATGCGCCCCAGCCCTTGGGACGGAATCCAGCCCTCTCCCCAGCACTGGATGTCTGCTTACCTAGTGGTGATTAAGAGACAGGTCAGAACCCGATGTAAGTTATGGCGCTCCCTGTCTGAGATACTCTGGGCCCCCCGCACCCCTCAGAGAGTCTGGGGAAGTGACTGGATTCTGGCTGGGCATCCGGACACCGCGTGGCAAGTTGTCCCTTGGTCCATGTGCCGTGAACATTCCCCCTCAGCAGGCCTGCCAGGGAATCTCTGTCTCACTTTCCTGTCCCCTTCCTGGTTCCTCCGTCCCTCCCGCCCCTCCCCTCACCCACCAGTACTCAGCCCGGAGCTCTTCTCTCTTCCCTTCTCTCTGATTTTGGAGCAAAGCTGTCTCACTCTCTGATTCTTTGCAGATCGACGTAATTAACACTTTCCAGACGGGAGCCTCTTTTAAGGGAGTCCTAAAGCGACAGAGTCCGCACCTTGAGATAACACATGTTCCTAGCTCCTATGCAACAGTTGCACCTACTGTTTCTGATGCTGTTTCATCTCTGGGCAGTGAGTGATTGTCTATTATGATGCATGATTTGCTAAAATGACCACAAGAGAGCACATGGCATCCACTGTAACCAACCAACGATCGTTAGCTTTTTTTCGTAGGTGGGGATGGATGGGTGGGAGGAGGCTTCCCCCCCCCTCCCCACTTTTATCTTTCTGATTCGCGGGAAGATAAATGGAGCCAAAAATCCCAGTCCCAAACCAGACTCTGTACCATTTCTTTTTAATACTGGAAAGCTTATAAACTGTAACCATTTTTAAGAATCCTGTTTTCTGATTATTCCTCTGCGTTGCTCGTTTCTCTGAGGGTCCTCCCCACCTTTGTTTCATTTTACTTCAGCTGTAGTGTTCCTTTCCTCTCCTTCTCCACCTTTCCGTCTAAATATTTGCGCCCTCCCCCACCCCCCACAAGGTTCTGTAGGTTAAGCCAGCAAAAATGCAGGAACTCTGGGTCCAAGTTTGAGATCTAGAAAAAGGTAGGGAGGGAGCTATGATTCCCATGGGAATTACCAAATAGTTACTGAATCTGGCTAGTAATAATCTTTCGGTTCTCACTCTTGTTAGCTGCCAAGATTGGCATTGAAGTTGTAGCTGAATAAAAGAATACAGTCAAGGTATGTAGGGCTGGTGAGATCTACAGGGCTGGAGCCATAATACAGCAGGGAGGGCAATTGCCTTGCACATAGCTGACTTGGATTCAATCCCTAGAACCCCATAAGGCTCCCCCGAACCCTGCTGGGAGTAAGCCCTGAGGACTGCAGGTTGGGGGGTAGGGGGTGGACAGAAATAATCAGGGCCAAACATCTGCCTTGCTTTTAACCCAAACTCTGACTTGAGAATCCGTTTGCATCTAGATCACTATGACTGTCACTATCACTATCATCCCGTTGTTCATGAATTTGCTTGAACGGGTGCCAGTAATGTCTCTATTCGTCCCAGCCCTGAGATTTTAGCAGCCCCTTCTTAATCATCTTTCCCAACCATTGGAGGCTCTTTCAGGGTCAGGGAAGTGAGACCTATTATAGTTAACTGGTTTTGGCATACCGTATACGCCACGGGGAGCTTGCCAGACTCTGCCCGTGTGGGCAGGATATTCTCGGTAGCTTTCCGGGCTCTCTGAGAGGCAGATTTATATGCCTCTACAGAAAAACATCAAAATTAATTATTTTTTTCTTCAGTTACACACATTTTTTAACTCTTAAATTTCTGTTTTTAAATTTTTTTATTGATTGCAAAATTGTTCATGATTTGGGTTTCAGTAGTACAATGTTCCAATACTTGTTCCTTCTCCAGTGTAGTACGTTTCCACCACCAATGTCCCAGTTTCCCCGCCCCCCCCCCCCCTCTGTTTTCCTTTTAGGCACTGTAATTTGCAATACTGTCACTCACTTGTAAAATTTTTAGATATAGCTTATGGTAAAAACTCCCCTCCTCCCAAAAAGAAGAAATAAAAGCTTTACACCCCCCCCCCCGCCCGCCCCCTGCCACACACAAACATCCTTTCCTTGAGTGTGCTTTATCTAAAACTATTTCCTCTTGGCTTGTTTTGTGCATACAGTTTTCAGAACACCTTTCTCCATTATCTTATCAACTGGTTCACTGTCGGTGCTCCAACCTAAGATCTGGAGTTCCCATTGTTAAATTATTGGTGATTGGTTGTTGCTCGCAGCTGGGCAGAGCAGAGAGAAGTCTCTGCTGATGACAGTGCTACTGATGTGTTGGGGGAGACAGGGATCTCTGTGAAGTACACTGTGGGCTTCAGATATCTGGGTGTTCTCCGTCCCTTCCTCTCCGATTCATAGCCTAATCCCGGAACGAAGCAGTAAAGAAAGAACAGTTCCATTGCCTGTAGCTGGCCTGACTGTGAGTTGGGAAGGCTGGTGAGATTTAGATAATTTACTGCCTTTCCATGACCAGTAAGGGGAGGAGAAAGAAATGTCGATCAGACTTCTTTACGCCCAAAGCCTGGCAAGAAAGAACTAATCAAGACTTACTCAAGTAGCTCTCTGGGAGCTTCTCGCCTCTAGCCCTTCCATATTCCTCTATTTTCTTTGTCTTCTAGGTTTTCCCTCTCCTTCTAGCTGTTTCCATTCTTCTTAAATCTTGTCTTTGTGGGGCAGGGCTCCTCCCGCTCAGGAGCCCTGGGGTTGGAAGGTGGAGACTAAGCAGAAGTAGTTGGTGGAGGGGAAGCATCTCCGCCTCCAAGACGGTGTAACCAGAGAGAAGACAGGACACTCCTGCTTTTCCTCCTTCCGGGCCTTCTTACTTGAAGCTTCTAGAAGTTACGGTCAGGAGTTTTAAGATCTATTCCGCGCTTCCCATTCCAGATCTCCAGATGGCTTATTTATCGGACCATCGATAAATAAATCTCTAAGCTTGCACCCCTGGGGAAGGCACAAGTCCTTCTCTTTCCTGGAAAGGGAGCCACCGCCCCAGAGTACCAGGAGGGGATAGCCCGCATCTGCCCCTTCTCTGAGCTCCAGAGAATGGCCCTTGGCACGGCTGCACGACCCAAGAGGCAGCCTTGAGTGAGAAGAGAGTGACACTGTCCCTCAGAGGAGACTTTGAGTGCGGGGCAGTTGAGAAGCCGGCTGGCTGGCTGAGTGGAGAGTGCCCGCCCTTCCTGACCACCCCCCTCCCCGCACCAGCACCCCACCACCTCCTTGTACCTCATGCATTGCTCCAATAGCAGGCGCCCAATAGTGGACACACCCGGTGTGGGCTGGAGGATGTCTCTGCATCATTGTCCGGCAGCATGTGTCCTCGGTGCTCAGAGGCCAGTGTTGGAGTGGAGGAACTTCCTGGCACAGTCCTGTCCCGCTCCCCTCCCCCTTCCTGCCCTCCCCAGGCCCATGGCTGTCCCTCCTGCCTCTCTGTGCCCCCCCACACCTCCTCACCTGAGCTTCCCTTACAGGTGACCAACTTCCTTTTAGATCCCAGAAGTCCTGCACTCTTAACTGGATGATTGTTCCTTGGTTCCCCACAGAACACATTTCCCCAATTTTTCTCCATCTACCTTCCCTCAGTTCACTTTCATCCCCCTCGTCGTTTACCTGTAACAGTGTGATTGGTCATCCCCCACAGGTGAAAGGAGGCCAGCAAACAAGGCTCCCGGTCCTCCAAGGCCCAAGTTTTTGTAAAACTCTATTTTCTGTATTGGACTTCACATAGAGTTGTTTCAATAAAGTATTCAATTGATTTATTTTTTTTAAAAAAAGGTAGGAAATTTGAAAATCACCGATATTATTGATATTGAAGATGACCAACTGGTGGTTTAAAGGTACCTCCAGTAGCGCCTTTTGGAAACCCCAAGGTCTCAAGAGCAGGTGAAAAGTCTGTTTTTGTTATTGTCTCTATAGCGAGTAACATGGCTTTGGCCCCATCTCTTGAGGAGAATCAAGGGAGAAGGCCTGGCTCTGGGCATACTTAGTAGTCCCAGTCACTTGCTCTGAAACTTGACATAGATCAACACAGGCTTGAGTATGCCTAGAGACTAGATGGAGCCTCCTCTATCCCATTTGATTTCAGCAAGATCTGGAGCACAGAGAGGTAAAATCCACCCATCGGACGGTCAAGAGGGATAACAGAAGGGCAGGACAGCGGATCCTCGCTCTCTGTTCCTCTGGCGAATTCCTTGGGTCTCCTCAGCTGAGGCGCTGAGTGACTCTCTGGAGGGACAAAGCTCCCTGTGCCTTCTGAGCTCTCAGCCCCCTCAGTCCTGGGTGGGTCCTCCAGGTCCCGATGGAGAAAGGCAAGACAGAGAAAGCCTCCGCCCACAGAGGCCCAAGCCTGCGGCCTCTTCTCCCATTATTACCGAGTCTGACGCCTCACGCTCAAAAGCACTGGAACAAACTCCACCCAACCGGTTCGCATGCTTTGGGCCCTCTCTCCACACTGTTGCTGCTTCTCGAGGGACATAACCTTTGCTCAGAGAGCCGAACAACCTTCAGTCCCTCCGCTCTCTCCTCCTCTTCCACCTCCTCCATTGCCCCTCCAGTCCTCCCATTTCTCTGACAAAACTTTGGACAAGATTTCGATCACCACCACCAGCACCACCAGTAACATCAATCCACCACTCAGACTATCCTACAGCCTCTTTCTTGTCCCCCGGCCATGTTCTCCAGCTCAGTTTCTGAGCGTTCCCTTAGAGAGGTCTAAAGTCCAGAAAAAAAGCAAAGCTGCCAAAAAGACCTGGTCCCCGTGGGTAAGGCTGACTTGCCGCAGCTTTCTCTCTCCTCCCAGTGGACTGAACCCCTTCTTCTCTGTACTGAGAACAAGAACTTGGACGCTCGTAGGGCCATGTAACCCCTTCCTTGTGCCTCTTCATCCAAGAAGTCCCTGGTCTGTGGCCCGACTTCCTCCAATTCCCATCCTTCCTTTCTCCACCCAAGGTTATTCATGCTTCTCTTCATGATGCAACAGGGTCGGAGGAAGCCACAGGGCCGGGACAGTGGCAGCGTCTCAGACAGGGCCACGTGTATGAGCAGTGAAAGCCAGCCCTCTCAGGAGGCAGGAGGGAGAAGGCATCTGTCGCTAGAGTCTTTTGTGACCGCTGTCCAGAAATGGGGCTGCGGGAATGGAGTTGGCTCTCTGTGGGGGAAGGGAACTGGCCCGTTACAAAACGCAGCGACCCATCTTTTCTGACTGACGGGAATGGTTGTATTGGAGAGGATAAGGGTTCTAATTCCTTGCATGCTGCTGACACAAACAAAACCAATGTTTGCCTGCCTTGCTGCACGGTCCTGTGGTCACTTATCACCCCTGCAACATGCACACCAGTGTGTCTGGCTTTGGGTAGCCATGAACGGATAGCTGAATGTCAGTTTGTCGTTTTTCCATTCCACACTCACAAAACGTGTTGGCCTCCCTGCAGAAATCCACGTGTCTGAGCGATCTCTTAAGTTTGGCTATTAATTCGCACCAGCTCCAAAGTCCTCTAGCCTCTGTTGAAAAAAAAAATGAATGACTCTGTTTTCTGTTTAGTTTTGTAAAAGAGTGGATTAGTTGGAATGCTAACTTTGCTTGGGTTTTCTTCTTTTTTTAAAAAAAAAAAATCAGGCTTTTGAGACATCTCGGTTGTTTGCCATAACTCACCCCACCCCAGAGCTTGAAATTTGAACCACCTGATGTTTTCAGTGTCCCGTGATCATCCGTGCTTGGTTTTGTTGTCGAGTTGTAGAATTTTGTTGTTGAAGTCCTGTTTTTCTCCTCAAAGTACCAGATCCATGTTCTAGTGACCGGTTCTCACCTGTGTCTTTTTTTCCTCCTTCTTTTCCATCCCCCCCCCCCCCCCCGGTATAGATCAAAGTGGTGAAAGCATTCCATAGTTCCCTCCATGAAAGCATTCAGAAACCCAAGAGCCATAACTCCATCCACAGCTTCATGACCCACCCTGAATTCTCCATAGATGAAGAGGTGCCCCGAACACCACTCTTGGAGGAAGAGGAGGACCGTCTGGAAATGGAAATGGTTTCTAAGACTGGGGCTCATGTGCCCCTGTTGGATGGTGACGCTACTGCACATGACAATAAAAACAACAATGCAGTGGATAGTAGTCAAATGCAGATTGTTGCCTCCCATTCCGACAGCCCTCTACACAGCCTGGAGACATCCGTTTGAACTTCATTCTCGGACTCGCTCCCCACCCTGCTCCCCGTGTTCCTCTTTACTCTCCCCGGTCTATACCGTCAGGATGGGACTTTTCACTGTCACGTCAGCTGCTCCCAAGTGTGTGGGAGCCTCTAATGACCATACAGAGGAAAGAACATAGACCTCGAGGATGTCGACTAAAACTTGAATCAGGGTTGATGACAGGACCTAGTTAAACCCCAGGCAGAGAAATGAGTGGTGGCGGCTGCCCCTTGGGTATGGTAACTGTCATTGGAAAGACATGGCCATCCCTGGCATCCGCCCCCCCTCCCAGTTCCAACCCCAAAATTCATACATGCATCACCATCTCCTGACTTAGGGATTTTACCCAGTGACCCTGTGCTATGTCAAAGCTTACTTGAGCGTTCACAGAGACAGCATTCCTCAGACAAAATGTGTTGAGGTAGGGATGGAATGTGTGGAATCAACCTACAGAGAGATTGTTTTTCAAAGATGAGTTTCCCATTGTGAAAACATATCCAAAGCCCTCTTGGCTGTCTTTACCCTTCCAGTCAAACCTAAGATTCTTTTCTTGGCCATTTTTAACTATTGTCTTATCTTCACTTTATATATATACATATGGAAAAAAGTTGTGATGATTAAGAAGATAGAAATGACGTCAGTGATTTGGGTCAACTTTGCCTCTTGTCCCTCCTGACTCCATCTAGGACGAGAGAGATCATCCCAGCCCGTTCCCTTGCTTTTAGTCCAAGAGACAGACAGGGTTTTTTTTGCCCCAAGAGTTCATTGGAAGCAGTGGAGAGCTGGTAAGAATGTGTTCCTGTTTGTTACTGCCTCCTAACCTGCAGTCTGGTCAGATGCGCATGTCTGCCAGGGCCAGGCCTGACGGTGTGTGTGGTATGTAGCTATTACTATTAGCTTGCTCTTTCTGCTGTTGCTCGAGTGGTGGGAAGAGAAGGAACTGAGAATGATACTGCCTCCTGACTGAACCTGCATGTGGAGGAACCGAGTAGTGGCAAGATCTAGGACGAGAGAGATCACCCCAGCCCGTTCCCGCAGGGACTGCCTAGGAATGACCACCACTGCTTTCCAAGCCATCTGCCAAGACTTCCAGGCCAGGGCGGGCTGTGTCGGGGGAGTGAGTGTTGGAGATGGGGGTCCGAATGATCCGAGAATCCCCTTCCTCTGAGAAACCAGAAACTTGTTTTTCTACTTCTGTTCTTCGTCAGATCCCCCTTCCTCCCCTGCGAAGGGTCCAAAAGGGGGTCCAAACTTTTCTCGAAGACTCTGGTTTTATGAATATTGTCCTGAGCGGAAAGTTCCAGTGACATTCTAACTGAGCTCTGCCAGCTCGCCCCCTTCCTCACACCCCTGCGCAGGTCCCGCGGGCCACACTGCAGGCTGTGCCTGCCTTCCCGCCCCGCTGCCCACTGCGGCCCCTTCCCACCAGCCTCTCAGAGCCGGGGACCACGAGGAGATCGTGTCTCCGCGCTCCGGATTGGGACCAAGTGGAGCCACGCTTGCAGGTGCTCGTGTTTGTTTGTTATTATTTTTTTTAATCCCTGTTAAGGCATCCCTCTGTGCTGGGGGTAGCTCGAGTCTGTCTGTTCCCATCTCCCCTGAGATAAATGAAGTCAGTCGGCTGTTTCTTCCGAGAGTGAGAGGGATGGGGAGACGAGGTCGGGGGCCTCTACGAGCTGCCAGATTTCTCCTGGTGAGAAACCGTTCCCTGACAACCTCCCCCCTCTCTCCAGCCATCTCTTCTAGAGTTCTCCTCCCATCCCCTCCTTTTTTTTTTGTCTGAACTGCCTGAGGTGGGAAGAGCAAAGAAAGGCCACCCCGACAATCCCCGTCACCCCATCACCCACCAAGCTGGAGGCTGGTTTTGAAGACCTTTCATGAATGCTTACGTGGTGGGGGAAAGCTCACCGAGGCATGGCCACATATTTATTGAGTACATACATTGGAAGACTGAGTCCTGCCAAGGTTTTTATTACCTCAAATCAGTTTTAAAACCAAGCCAATAATCTTTGAAGGCTCTTTACAGTCATTCCCGACTCCCAAAAGACTCTCCTGGTGCCCAACAGCTTACTCTGAAGGGTTTATGTCAATTTGCTTTAAGCCAACAGCTTGTGTGTGTGTGTGTGTGTGTGTGTGTGTTAGTGTGTGTATGTATGTGTGTATTCTAGTTTCCATGGTAGGAGAGTAACATAGAAATATTATGCAAAATCTATATACTTTTCTTTAGATCAGAAACTGATATTTTTGAGTCAGCCATATGTATTTTGTTTAAAAGGTTGAAAATAAAGTGCTGTCGTGTAACCCTGTGGTTGGAGCACATAACCAGGTGTTTTGTGAGACATGACAGGTGACTCCGTATGTTTGTAATTGGTCTTAAAACCAATGCACCGCACTTCCTTTCTCTGAACAGCCATCTTTATACTTAGGGGTCGGGGTGGGGGGAAGTGTTGAGCTCTAGACTTTTTTTAATATAAATTTTGTTGATACCAAATTGAGTAAGTTCCAGTGTTTATATGCCTATGTTTTTATATATCAAGGATTTGTCCTCACCCCCACCCCCATTCAGTTTCAGTGATTCATCTGGCTGTACATAAGTAAATACGGCATAAGTTTCCCCCTCCCCCCCCCCCAAAATGGTGCTTTGGATTTGAAAAGGATCTGATGGGGAGAAGGGGAAGGCATCGTCCTGGATTCCTTTGGAAACATAGGCAGTGGACAAGAAGGAAGACATCCAGGAGAGGAGAACCAGGAGGAGAAGCACGTGGCCCTGGGACCAGGGCTGTGCTGGGATTTACTTCTTGAAAAGCACCTAGCAGAGTGGTACCCAAGACATGACTGACTTGGGCTGCAAGGGTACCCAGATTTGAGATGGACTTTACAGCTTTCTTTTCACCTGCTGCCCCTGGAGTTTGGCATTGGTGAGTTTTTACGCAAGGATCTGAGCTAAGATTCTCCCCCCCCCGGCCCCCCCCCCACACACACCCAAACAGGTGTGGTGTGAGGTATTTTAACGGGGGAAGAGCAGCAGGTGGACAAAAGAAAGGCTGGTTCTAGCCAAGGTGACAGCCTTGGGGCCCGGGTCTTCCTGCACGAGTCTTCCCCCTGCCCACCGAGATGAGTCCTCCAGGCCTGAAGGTGGTGTAGAATTTGCCTGGAATGTCACTGGTTGTGTGTGCTCTATCGGGCTGAGTTTTCTGCTTGAGCTTCTGAATGCAGAGCCACAAACACTAAACCCAGCAGGATGTGGCCAGCTGGCCTGTGCCAGGGAACCTCTGAGGACATGATTTCCTTCCTGGCAGCTGTCCTTGTCTCAGATGGACAAAGCCTGCCCAAGGCACCATTACAAAAGGCACGCTTCCTCGTGTGTCCAGCCTAGGGACCACCAGGCCATCCCAGGGTGGGGGTGGGGGAGAGACACTTAGGATCCCTTAAGCCATTTTAGTAGCCCAGAGACACCAGGATAGACCAGCCACCTTCCTTAGGCTGAGGGCAGCCCTCTGTTGCCCCCTGCCAGGAACCCACCTGTCCCCTTCCCTCCCACCAGGAGAGGGGTCAGGGCGTGTGCTCCGGGCCTCTGAATGGGCCTGCAGTTCTTCCTCATGTCTATATGCCATATGTGAATATGTGCCAACAAATCTGTCCGTTCTTTTAAATCAGCAGGCACATAAGGATTTTGAGGGTTTTTTTTTCTTAAACTACTGTAACAAGCACTAGTATTTTTGTATGAAAAAGAAAAAACAAAAACAAAAGATTGGCAATTGTGGTCTGCATGACAGATAGACAAACAATGGTGATCTAGTTTGTGTGTGTGGCCTCATTCGCAATACAGCTAATTGTGCACACACCCTCTCAGCATCTTGATACTCTCTGTGAAATGTTTTGCATGTATTTATATGGTGGGGGGGAGTGGGAGGGGTGCTAAAAATGTCCTGAAAAATCTGAAATATGTTATTCCACTGAGACGGGAAGAAGAGGAGTATTCCGAGAAGGGGGAAATGGGATGCAAATTTTGGAACCAATAAAGCTTGTGGCTGATGAGCTGAAACCAATACAGCAGTTCACTGAGAATAAAAGTTCATTCCCACCGTCACTGCCATCTATGTGTCTCCATACGAGCCCTGGGGTCTGGGGGGTAGGGGGCTGAGAAGGGGTGAGCCCAGCCCCAACCGTGTCAGGACCTTCATGAGAGGAACCCCGACTCTGCCCTGGCATGTGAGAGCTTTGCAAGTGCTGCTGGGCTTCGGTACCTGGAGGGCTCTGGAAGGATAAGTCTTTAGGGATAAGTTCATAGGTTCTTCCTCCCTCCCTCCCTTCCTGCCTTCCTGCCTTCCTTCTTTCCCTCCTTCCTTCCTTCCTTCCTTCCTTCCTTCCTTCCTTCCTTCCTTCCTTCCCTTTCTTCCTTTCTTCTGTATTTTTTGTGTGTGTGTGTGTATGTGTGTTATACCAGGTATTGCTCAGGGCTTACTCCTGACTCTGCACTCAGGAATCACTCCTGGTGGTGCTTGGGGACCCTGTGTGACACTGGGGATTGAACCCTGGTCAGCAACTTGCAAGGCAAATGCCCTACCCGCTGTGTTAAAAAGAAACAGCTCCCGACTCCTCTTTTTTTTTTTTTTTTTTTCCTTTTTTAACAAAATGCCTTGGTGGGAAACCTGGTCTTCCCTATATTAGTGGCTTTTCCATCTCTAGGATACTAGTTCCTATCTTCCCAGAGTTGTTACTCTTTTTTTTTTAAATATATAATTGTACCTTGCACTAACTCTTTGCTATCACTGGTACTAGGTTTTAGGTTCAGTTCAAAATATTTTCTTGGAGGCTTGCTCTTCAAGTTGGTGTTCTTCCTAGAACATGTATCTTCACTTGTTTGTCTCTGTATGTCTTTGCTTGCCTAGTTCCATTCAGGAAAAGCCTGTGTTCTCTCTTAAAAGCTCCGGATATGGGACCTGGGACTCCGCGTACTTCTCTCTTTCTGTCCCCTCACATCTCTCCAAACAAGTTTCAATAAAAAATGATCTTATTTCACCAAAAAATCGTTTCATGGAAAAGAAGTCCTTGAGATTCTAACTTTCATTAACTCAGAACTCATCACTCTGCAGCACTCCTCCAGAACCACAGTGCAGTTCCCGGCTTTCTTAAAATCTCCAGGGAGAGCCCGAGTGATCGTACAGTGGGGCTGGTCTTGCACGCAGCCCACCCGGGTTTGGCATCCCTTTTGCAAAGTCTCCTGAGCCCTGCCAGAAGTAAACCCTAAGCACAGCCGGGTGTGGCCCCTAAACCAAAATAAATATCAAAGGGAGGAAAGTGCTTAGTCACTCCCCAAGAATCCTTAGGAATGCATTAAGTTAAAAATAAGTCCCAATTGGAGCTAGAGCAATAGTACAGCAGGTAGAGCATTTGCTTTGCACATGGCCGATCTGGATTCCATATCCCGCACCCCATATGGTCCCCAGAGCACCACCAGAAGTGGTCCTGGCATAAGCCCTGAGCACAGCTGGGTGAGACCCAAAATCCCAAAGAAAATTGGAATCAAGAGAAATGATTTGTGAGTCTCCCCATTCTCACTCATACCTTCCTCTCCCTTTGGACACTGGATTTACTTGCTATTCTTCACCAAGAGTGATTGGTTTCCTCCACAGTCCACACACAACCAGGTAACTCCTATCTAGAGCAAAGCTCAAGATGACCCATTAGGATAGAAGCTGGTTTTTGGTACCTGGGAAGCATCTACTAGCACAGGACCTTCTTGTCCCGAAGAGCAGGAAGGAGCATAAAAATGGCATATACCTTACCAGCAACTGGTTTTGAAACTGTCATAAATGAAGCATAGAAATACTCTTTCTCAGTGGCCAGAGAGGTAATATAGCAGGCAGGGCACTTGCCTTGCATGAGGCTGACCTGGTGATTCCCAGCATCTCATATGATCCCCTGAGCCCACCAGGAGTGATCCCTGAGCACAGGGCCAGGAATAAGCCCTGAGTACTGCCAGGTGTGACCCCCAAACCAACCAAATTAAAAACAAAAACCTCTGTGTTATCATTAACATCCACTTGTCTTCAACACAAAACTAAGCCACAAAGGTATTATGTACCAGCAAGATTCCCAGGTAGAAAATACTTTAGCCTTAAAAGGTTCTGGGTACTCAGGATTGTTCCATCCAAATCCTGATGCAAAACAACCAGAGTTCTCTGAAATTGGTTTTAAAGGAAACGTCCCTATTCTCTGGATTGCCTCGGAGTATGTCTTTAGGAAATTCAAATGGCACACTCTTAGAGGGAGCCAGTCTGTTTGGAATGACTTCCTACTGCATCTGCTAGGAGGCTGGTATGGAAACCAGAATGCTGGGGCCAAGAGGCAGAAGGGCATAGCCCCAAATCTAAATTTTAAAAAAGTTTCCCAAGCACTGCACGCTGATCATCTCTACTCATCGCTAGCTCTCAAACTGACAGTCCTCATTTGCAAGCCACACAGTCAGTGCTGAAATAATCCACCTTTGAGTGACACTGTAATGAGTTGGGTGATTAAATACACACATGGGCTCAGTTTGGGGCCCACCTCAATTGTCTTCCATATCTATCCGTGGTGGAACAGTAAAATCGGGCTGGAGAGACGGCTCAAAGGCCCGAGCGCATGCTTTGTAGGCAGGAGACCCAGATTCAAGGCCCCATCACACAATCCCCAAGTACCAAAGAAGTGACCACTCCCAGCACAGAACCAGGCATAGCCCCTGAGTACCACAGGTATGGCCTGAAAATAAAAAATAGAGTCAAACTTGGTGACTGTGGTCAAGCTTGCTGAGATTGTCATCTAATTTTGTTCTTAAACTTATGGAAAGAACTCAGAGGCTCCTGGACTAGAGAGCTAGTACAGGGGTTAAGGCACTTGCCTTGCATGTGTCCAACCCCAGTTCAATCCCTGGCACTGTATTGGGTTCCTGAACACCACCCAGGGTGATCCCTGAGCACAGGGTGGCCCTTGAGTATCGCTGGGTAATCCAAACTGTCACGGCCCAAGAAAGAAAGACAGAGAGAGAGAGAAAGAAAGAGAAAGAAGGAAAGAAAGAAAGAAAGAAAGAAAGAAAGAAAGAAAGAAAGAAAGAAAGAAAGAAGAGATAGTAGAGTGGGGAGGGCACTTCCCTTGCATATAGCCAACCCAGGTTCAAACAGTGGCACCACATATGGTCCCCCCAAGCTCTGCCAGGAGTGATCCAAGGAGAAATCTGGACACTGCTGGGTGTGGTCCAAATACAAATGAACAACAACAAATGACCAAACTTGTAATGTGGGTAAAGCACCAAATTAAGAGAACCAAGATGAGTTCTTTGCACTGTGGTGGAGAGAGCATTGAGCTTGAGTGACACTGAAATGAGTTGGGTGATTAAATACCTTGTGCAGAAGTTCCAAAGCCTGAGCCTGCCACTCATTTGCCAGGTGACCTAAGAATCACAGGATCTTTCCAACTGAAGCAGGCAGGTAGGTGAGGAAGGGGGTGTGGATTAGGAGCTGGGGGAGGGGCACCAGCAAAGAGTTCTTGGGAAGTAATAAAATCAAGATGGAATTTGAAGAAGTTACCCTGTCACTAGCCCTAAAGTAGCAAAATGTATTATGGTTGGACCTGCCTGTTGGACACAAGTACTGAGGTCTGATGAGACTCTTGATACCAGCATAAGCCCAGAGCAAACTGAACCACCACCCCCTCCCCAATACCCTCCACCCCAGAGCACTCCAGCAAATTGTGATAAGGACAGGAAGATGGACCACCAAAAAAATATCAAGCCCACGGCCTGTTGTCAATGCACTGGCAATGAGCTCTTTTATCTATGCACAAAGCACCACATGGGGGCAGGTGGGGAGAAAACCCAAAAACCAAGTCTGCAGAAGTAGAGGGGGCGCCTTCCCGTTCTGGGGGGGTGGCCCATTTCATCACCTGAGATGTGGACTTGGTCTCTCCCCTTTGGAGAAGCCCTAATTCTTTCTTTCTTTCTTTCTTTCTTTCTTTCTTTCTTTCTTTCTTTTTTATTAATGTAGGAGTACTGCTATTTATTCAGCCACTGATTAGGCTGATTGAATTGGGCATGAACTCTGCGTTAACTTTTTTTTTCAATTTTTACAATTTTATTTATTGAATCACTGTGAGAGCAGCTACAAAGCTTTCGGGTTTAAGTCTTGGTCATACAATGAAACACCCACACCTTCACCAGTGCTCATTCTCCACCCTGAAAAGCCCCAGTATACCCCCATCCCACACCCTCCCCCTACCTGTGGGGCAGATGATTTCCACATTATTCTCTCTCTCTCTCTCTCTCTCTCTCTCTCTCTCTCTCTCTCTCTCTCTCTCTCTACTTTGATTACATTCAATATTCTGACATCCCTTGTTCTTTCTTGTTTGTTATTCTCTCTCTCGCCTTCCTCATACATGAGGAATAAATAAAACAATTTAACTCACTATCATCTCCTCCTAAAGTTCCTTTCTGTGAGGGAAGAAGACAGACCTGGAAGCCTGACAAAGGTTAAGGACCGGCTTTCCTACAAAGAGCAATTCCTGAGTTCCATGGTTCCCCCAAGAAATCTGGTGTCGGGGATCATCTCCCATTCCGGGCAGAACAAGTGGAAGCCAGGGTTGATGATGGCCTCGTGGGGCTGGTGGGAGGTGAGGGCTGTACCATGCGGATGCTCATCAGCCCTAGACTTCCCAGGACTCCAGAGGTAATCCTAGTAAACAGAGAAGCAGTAAACTCCCTTCTGGAGGCTGCCATCTCTCTTCTCCCCACCTCACATAAGTCTCTCTAACACACCACTGCCGTCCTTCCATCCTGACGCTCATGAGTGCAACTGTGGTTCATAACCACTGGAGAATGCCTTCATAGGACTGCCCCCCCCAACATAGCTGATTGCCTGCGTGTGTGGCAGACTAGTACATGCTGTGACATGTGTGAGCCAATTTCACTTGGGGCCCGTCCGCTGATCCCCCACAACAAGGACAAAGTGCTCCATAGTCATTACTATCAACCAAAATCCACTCTAATCAAATTCAGGACTAGCTGTGATC